TGGAGTGCAGTGGCATGATCTCAGCTCACTGCAACCTCCACCTCCTGGGTTCAAGCGATTCTTGTGCCTCAGCCTCCCGAGTAACTGGGATTATAGGCATGCACCAACACACCTGACTAAATTTTGTATTTTTTAGAGATGGGATTTTGCCATGTTAATCACTCTTGTCTTGAACTCCTGGCCTCAAGTGATCCACCTGCCTTGACCTCCCAAATTGCTGGGATAACAGGAGTGATCCACTGCATCTGGTCTCTTGATTATTTTTTATTTTATTCCTTAAATTCTTCAGCTCCAAGATCTCTGTTTGGTTTTTAATGACATCTATATCTTTGTTGAATTTCTCATAAGACCATAAATTGTTTTTCTAATTTCATAAATTTGTCTATCTGTATTCTCTTGTACCTCATAAAGCTTCCTTAAGATAATTATTTCAAATTGCTTCTTAGCCATTTGATATACTGTTAACATTTAGGGTCTGTTAATGGGGAATTATTGTGTTTCTTTGGAGGTGTAATGTTTCCTTGCTTTTTATGTTTCTTGTGGTCCTAAATTGATTTTTGCACATCTGGTGGAACAGGTGCCTTTTCCAATGTTACAGAGCTTTCATAGAGAAATATTGTTTCCAATAGTTGTCTCCTAGTGTTCATTGAGTAGGGTGATTTGACTTTGGTTCTAGGTGGCTGCAGTAATATAGTCTTCATGTGACTTCTTTGGCTGTAATCAGCATTTAGAGGTGTCTCTGAGTGCCTCAGAGGCCTAGATGGTGAGTGTTTGTGGAGACAGTGGTATGGCTTTTCTTGGGATGGGAGCCATCAGTCAGATTAGTTCTAAGGCCCTAGAGGTATGCATGCTAGGTGCAGTGGCTTGGCTAGTGCTATGGTGGTGCCACCAGCAGGGTGGGCACCAGGCAGGCCAGTCCTCAGGGTCTTAGAAGTGCATGCAGCATATGGCAGCTCTGCTGGTCAGGCGGATGGGGCTGTTGGCAGCAGTGGGTGCCAGATGGGATGGGCCTTGAGGGGTGCATGGAGCATGCAGTGGCTCTGTCAGCTGAGGGCAGCCAAGTCATTTTAGACTAGCCAGTGCTCAGACGACTCAGTAGCTGCCCACAGATGCGTGAATGAGCTCAGTTGAGAGAGGCAATCCTCCCTGTGAGCACAGAATTGAACAGTTAAGCCCATCTCAGATTCACAAACCATAGGATCATGAGCCAAATAAATAGTTGCTGTTATAAGCCAGTAAGTTTGGGGGTGGTTTGTAACCACTGGTACAATTGTAACTGGTATCAATCCATGATGACTGTTTTACTTGAAAGAGTACCTTCTGGAAAGAATATTGACATTTCTGGGTCAATATTAAACTTTTGACTACACAGTCTACAATCATTGAGAAATGAGTATTTTTAAGATAAACACCCGTACCTTAATCGGATTCCGATACAAGGACTGGCCTCCAGAAGATGGAAACGACATAGCGATAATACGTTCTGGAAGTCAAAATCATCACTATTACAAACATCATTATAGATTTAAAATAACATACAAAAATTAATTTTATATGATCAGACTCCATTTTCACAGAAAAATAAATTTTAAGATTGAGGTTGACAGAAAAGAGCTAATACTCAGGATAATCAAGATAACATGTTAAATTATCCAACATAATGACCATTAAGCTGGCACAGTGTTCATAAGACTCCACCAGTTCAAATCATATGCCATGGACTTATGTTGGCCTCAGTCTGAAGTTCTCCCTGTTCTTGGAATTTATTTCTTAAATACCAAAGAAAATCCAAGAATTGTGGGCACCAGTAATGGTGGGAACTCCCAAAGTGCTTTGTAGCCCTCTGACTCAGAAAACCTGAGATCTACAAAGCTGGGACCTCATTCTCTGGGGTTCTAGGAAGAGAAGCAGTCTCTCTGGGATCCTTGGGATTCAGGATAACTACTGGAACTTAATAAACTGAAACTCAAATGGAGTCAGCTGAAAATCCATTCAAGTTCCTGTGCTGCAATCGAGTAGTCCTGGATTGAGATGACATGGAAATCTTCCTTGCCAGAGTTAAACCACAAATACGTCACACTATCACAGTGGCATAGCATATAGCCTCATGAATAAAGAATACTTTGAATGAATGTGGCTTAGACAAGGCAAAAACAAAATAAAAATATAATTACAACAAAAAGTGAAGTTAATCTAAGTAAATCAACAGTTAAGTGTCACAAACCAGTAATATAAGTGAGGTCTAGGTCAAATCCATCCCTTTTGTATCGCCTTTTGTTTCCTGAAACCTGAGAGTTTAAAACCATTATTAGTTTGTGAAACATAAATCAACATAAAAATAAAGGGCATTATACAGTATAGAAATCAACCCTTGCCAATGGGTCCCAAAACACAAAATATTTTTCTGAATCATAAGCATGTTTTACCCACTTACCAGCCTTCTTATCAGCTTTCCAAGTTGTCTTTTTAGATGAGCCAGATGAAAAACTCTTATCAGAATGATAAGTCGTAGAAGTCGAAATAAACGTGTCCATCTAAAAATAAATTTAAAAGATCAATTTTTGCATCAGAAACAGAGAATTTTATGAATATAAATTAAGTTTAGAGCAGCAGTTGTTAACCAGGGACAATTTTCCCTCCTTTCCTCAATCACCTACATGGGGGATATTTGACAGTGTCTTGAGGCACTTTTGGTTTTCACAACTGGTGTATGTGTGTGTGTATTCACGCGCGTGCACGTGCTACTTCCATCTAATGAATAGAAGCCAGGAATTCTGCTAAACATCCTGCAATGAATATAACTGCTCACCACCCTCCTGTGACAATAATGATCTGGCCCAAAATGTTAGTAATGCTGAGATTGAAAAATTCTGGTCTAGAGAGATAGTGAAACAATAGAGTCTTAGAATTTGTAAATTTAATTTTGGGATTTGAAACTAGCATTTTCAGTTTTTCCACATCAAAACAAATTGAGGATTCTTGTTCACCTTTGTTACTCCCATCTGTAACAGAGGTTCACTACAGCTACTAATGCACATCAGGCAGGCAACAGATTGAGATACTTCCCAAGTGTGCTAGCTAGTGTCTCTCCTACCATGAGAAATATCAAAGCAGAGAACTGATGGTCTGGACTAGTGCTTCTCTGGCTTGAGCATGCATAAATCAGAGTCATCTGGAAAAACCTGTTAAGCTACAGATTGCTGGGTCCCAGAGATATTGATTCAGTGGGTCCGGGGTGGGGCCTAAGGTATTTTTCTTGTATTTCTAGCAAGCTCTCAAGTGATGCTGAGGTTTCTAGTCAGAGGACCACACTGGCTGAGGTGATTTTCAAACAACTCCAAAAGCCTATCACTTAACATGCTTAGTTGGTGCCTGAGTTGTAGTCCAGGGACTCTAGGGGTACAGAAAGAAACCAGGTATTTGACCCATGAACAAGCTTAGGAAGCCACCAACATCTACATCCCAGTATACATTTGCTCTTCCCTTTTCCTCACTGTCACAGTAAAAAGGAAAAAAAAAAAAAGAGAGAGTCACCAGGTCCTCATACACCCTTTAGTTTCCTAATCCCCAGCAGTTCTAACTTTGCCTTAGCTTTCTTTGTTTCTACCGCAACTATACTGCAAAACTCTACTGTTGTGTTGCTATACATATCATCTCCTAGTTTTCTGTGTCTGTTCTGTTTTCTATTTTTTAGAACATCATGATTGAGGCTTGACGCGGTGGCTCACGCTTGTGATCCCAGTACTTTAGGAGGCCGAGGTGGGCAGATCACTTGAGGTCAGGAGCTCAAGACCAGCCTGACCAACATGGTGAAACTCGTCTCTACTAAAAATACAAAAATTAGCCAGGTATGGTGGTGCATGCCTGTAATCCCAGCTACTCGGGAGGCTGAGGCAGGAAAATCGCTTTAACCGGGGAGGCAGAAGTTGCAGTGAGCCTGATATCATGCCACTGAACTCCAGCCTGGGCGACAGAGTGAGACTCCATCTCAAAAGAAAAAAAAAAAAAAAGAAAAGAAAATCGTGATTGAAGTCACTCAAATTTTGCATATGCTCAAATAAATTCCCTCTTGGCTGTGGGAAAAACCCAGACAGAACATATGTGTAAGGGATTTGTAGTTGAAGCACAGAGGGGAATTGTTTTTAATATCAAATTTTTTAATGTATCAGATATTAAACTAATAAGAATATCACACTTGATCGTAGCCAAAAGGCCAAAAAATGATACAAATGGGAATTTGATGAGAACTTCAAAATGTAGCGAAGTTAAAGTTAATACAAGAGGTAAAGCCCTTCTTTGGCTACTCCATCTTTTTTATTCCATTACTGGTACTTAGTGTGTATACTCTTTGCTGGTCCCTAAATACCACAATCTTTCAGTTTCAACCTATGTGGGAATTTACCTACACATTTCATTTTAAAGCAACATATTTGGTATAAAATAGGCCATTTGAAGTTGAAAAGATTAGATCGAATAAAAGCCACAGAAAATACAAAAAATAAATGAAAAACTTTAAGAGAGGTAAGTCTTATATTTCATACCTGGGAACATCCTTAAGAAACTTAACGTCAAAAAAAATGTAAATGACATCAACCAGCAGGATAATCACAGTAATAGCAGTATCTAAAATGTTCAGTAAATCAGAAAAATAATGCTGTCTCCTGTAATATAAAATGGAAAAATATGAGTTCATCTCCCCTGCAAGGAGAGACAGGAATATTTAAAGACCACAAACTATTAACTGATCCCCATTAAGAATTCTAGTTTCATAAATTATTTAAAATGCATGTTCTAGAGTAGACTAAGGGAAAAATATAACATCCGTGGGAACTTTTCAAACAATAAATTTATATTCATCATTTGACACATATATATATGACTAAAGCACCAATATGCCAATTTAAGTATAGTAAGAGATATAACTAAATGCATATTAACCACCCTTATCATGGATGATGGGGTATCTCTGTCCCCTCAAGCATTTATCATTGTGTTACAAACAATCCAATTACACTCTTCCGATCATTTAAAAATGTACAATTATTATTGACTATAGTCACCCTGTTGTGCTAGCAAATAGTAGGTGTTATTCATTTTTTTTCTATTTTTTCATACCCATTAACCATCCCCACCTCCCCACCCCCAAACTCCTAGTACCATTCGCAGCCTCTGATAACCATCTTTCTACTCATGTCTATGAGTTCAACTGTTATCCTTTTTAGAGCCCACAAATAAGTGAGAACATGTGATGTTTGTCTTTCTGTGCCTGCCTTATTTCAGTTAACATAGTGATCTCCAGTTCCATCCATGTTGTTGCAAAAGGCAGGATCTCATTAGCTAAATATAGCTAAGTATAGCTAAATAATAATATTAGCTAAGTATAGCTAAATAATACTCTCTTGTGTATATGTACTATTCTCTTTATCCATTCATCTGTTGATGAACACAGGTTGCTTCCAAACCTTAGCTCTCGTGAACAGTGCTACAACCAACATGGGAATGCAGATTATCTCCTCTATGTATTGATATCCTTTCTTGTGGGTATATACCCAGCAGTGGGATGTCTGGATCAAATGGTGGCTCTATTTTTAGTTTTTTTAAGGAACCTCCAAACTGTTCCCCATAGTGGTTCTACTAATTTACAGTCCCATGAACAGTGTATGAGGGTTCTCTTATCTCCACGTTTGCCAGCATTTGTTATTGCCTGACTTTTGGATATAAGCCGTTTTAGCCAGGGTGAGATGATATCTAACTGTAGTTTTCTACACTGTGAATTTCTCTAATGATCAATGTTAAGCACCTCTTCACATGCCTGTTTACCATCTGTATGTTTCCTTTTGAGAAATGTCTATTCAAATCTTATGCTCATTTAAAAAAATCATATTATTAGATTTTTTTTCCCTATAGAGTTGTTGGAACTCCTTATATATTCTGGTTATTTATCCCTTCTTAGATGGGTATTTTGCAAATATTTTCTCCCATTCTGTGGCCTGTTTCTTCACTTTGTTAATTGTTTCCTTTGCTATGAAGAAGCTTTGTAACTTGATGTGATGCCATTTGTCCATTTTTGTTTTGGTTACCTGTGCTTGTGGGATATTGCTCAAGAAATTTTTGTTCAGACCAAAGTCCTGAAGATTCTTCCTGATGTTCTCTTATTATAGTTTCATAGTTTGAGGTCTTATCTTTAAGTCTTTAATCCATTTTGATTTGATTTTTGTATATGGTGAGAGGTAGGGGTCTAGTTACATTTTTCTGCATGTGGATATCCAGTTTTCCCAGAACCATTTGTTGAAGAGACTTCCTTTTCCTCAATGTATGTTGTTGGCACATTGACTGAAAATGAGTTCACCATAGGTGTGTGGATTTGTTTCTGGGTTCTCTATACTTTTCCATTGGTCTATGTGTCTATGCCAGTGCCATGCTGTTTTGGTTACTATAGTTCTATAGTATAATTTAAAGTCAAGCAATATGATTCCTCCAGCTTTGTTCTTTTTGCTTAGAAAAGCTGTTATTCTGGGTCTTTTGTGGCTCCATATAAATTTTAGGATTGTTTTTTCTGTTTCTGTGAAGAATGTCATTGGTATTTTGATAGGGAGTGCATTCAATGCGTAAATTGCTTTGGATAGTATTGTCTTTTTAACAATATTGATTCTTCCAATTCATGAACATGGAATCTCTTTCCATTTTGTGGTGTCCTTTTCAATTTCTTTCATCAGTGTTTTATCGTTGTCATTATAAAGATCTTTCACTTCTTTGGTTAAGTTAACTCCTAGGTTTTTAATTTTATTTGTGGCTATTGTAAATAGGATCACTTTTTTAAAGTCTTTTTCAGATGGTTTACTGTTGGCATATAATATGCTACTGATTTTTGTATGTTGATTTTGTATCCTGCAAATTTATTGAATTTATCAATTCTAGTATTTTTTGTTGTAGAAAATATTTTTTGTTGTGGAATCGTTAGCTTTTTCCAAATAAAATATATCATCTGCAAACACAAGGATAATTTTACTTCTTCCTTCCCAATTCAGATTTCTGTTTTTATTCCCTTTATTTCTTTATCTTCTATGATTGCTCCAGCTAGGACTTCTGGTACTCTGTTGAATAACACTGGTGAAAGTGGGCATCCTAGTTGTGTTCTAGATCTCAGAGGAAAGCTCTTCCATTTTTCCCCATTCAGTGTGATACTGACTGGGGGTCTGTCATATATGGTTTTTATTATATTGAGCTGTGTTACTTCTATACCCAGTTTTTTTTGTTGTTGTTGTTGTTTTTGTTTTTTTTTTTTTTAGACAGAGTCTCACTCTGTCGCCCAGGCTGGAGTGCAGTGGCCGGATCTCAGCTCACTGCAAGCTCCGTCTCCCGGGTTTGCGCCATTCTCCTGCCTCAGCCTCCCAAGTAGCTGGGACTATAGATGCCCGCCACCTTGCCCGGCTAGTTTTTTGTATTTTTTAGTAGAGACGGGGTTTCACCGTGTTAGCCAGGATGGTCTCGATCTCTTGACCTCGTGATCTGCCCGTCTCGGCCTCCCAAAGTGCTGGGATTACAAGCTTGAGCCACCGCGCCCGGCCCCAGTTTTTTTTTAGAGTGTTTATCATGAAGAAATGTTGAATTTTATCAAGCACTTTTTCAGCATTAACTGAAATGATGACTTTTATCCTTTATTATGTTGATATGATGTATCACTTTGGTTGATTTGTATATTTTGAACCATGCTTGCATCCCAGGGATAAATCCCATTTGTCATGATGAATGATCTCTCCAGTATATTGTTGAATTCAGCTTTCTAGTATCTTGTTGAGGATTTTTGCATCAATATTCATCAGATATAGTGACCTGTTGTCTTCTTTTTTTTTGGAGGCAGAGTCTCACTCTGTCACACAGGCTGGAGTGCATCTGTCGTGATCTGGGCTCACTGCAACCTTCACCTCCCAGGTTCAAGTGATTGTCATGCTTCAGCCTCCTGAGTAGGTGGGATTACAGGCACCTACCACCATGCCCAGCTAAGTTTTGTATTTTCAGTAGAGACGGGGTTTCACCATATTGGCCAGGCTGCTCTTGAACTCCTGACTTCATGTAATCCACCTGCTCCAGCCTCCCAAAGTGCTGGGATTGCAGGTGTGAGCCACCGCTCCCTGTCTTTCTTATTTTGATGCATCTTCGTCTGCTTTTGGTATCAGGGTAATACTGGCCTTGTGGAATGAGTTTGGAAGTATTCCCTCATCTCCTTCTGCTTTTTGGAATAGTTTTAAGCAGGAGTGGTATTTGTTCTTCTTTAAATGTTTAGCAGAATTCAGCAGGGAAGCTATCGAGTCTCAGTATATATATTGGCTATATATGCTGGATGAATATAACTTAAAATTGTTATAGCCTCTTGCTGAATTGATCCCTTTGTCATTATATAGTGACATTCTTTGTCTCTTCTTATCGTTTTTGTCTTCTTATCGTTTTTGTCTTGCAGTCTATTTTATCTGATACAAGGGTAGCTAATCCTGCTCTTTTTCGGTTTCTACTGGAATGGAATACATTTTTCCATTCGTTTATTTTCAGACTAATGGGAGACGACTGTTTCTTATAGGCAACAGATCGATGGGTCTTGTGTTTTTTGTTTCGTTTTGTTTTTGTTTTTACTTTCATTTATTTATTTATTTTTGAGGTGGAGTCTTGCTCCATTACCAGGCTGGAGTGCAGTGGCATGATCTCAGCTCATTGCAACCTCTGTCTTCCGGGTTCAAGTGATTTTCCTGCCTCAGCCTCCTGAGTAGCTGGGACTACAGGTGTGCACCACAAGGCCCACCTAATTTTTGTATTTTTAGTAGAGATGGGGTTTCACCATGTTGGCCAGGATTGTCTTCATCTCTTGACCCTGTGATCCACCTGCCTCAGCCCCCCAAAGTGCTGGGATTACAGGCGTGAGCCACCGTACCTGGCCAAGTCTTGTTTTTCCATCCATTCAGCCATTCTGTCTTTTGATTGAAAAGTTTAATCTGCTGACATTCAATGTTATTATTGACAAGCAAGGACTTACTCTTGCCATTTTGTTAATTGTTTTCCGGTTGTTTTGTAGTCTTCTCTTCCTTCTTGCCTCCCTGTCTTCCATTAGTGAAGGTAATTTTCTCTGGTGATATAATTTAGTTTCATGTTTCTTATTTTTTGTGTATCCATTGTATTTTTTTGGTTTGAGGTTACCATGAGGCTTGCAAATACTATCTTATAACCCATTATTTTAAGCTTATAAAATAACACTGTTTGCATAAACAAAAAAGTAATAAGAAAACTAATACAAACTCTACAACTTAGTCTCATTTCTTTTTAACTATTTGTTATTTTGATTTATATCTTATTATAACATTTATGTCTTGAAAAGTTGTTGTAGTTAATGTTTTTGATTGGCTCATAGTTTAATTTCTCTACTTAGAATAAGAGTAGTTTATACACCCTAGTTAGTGTTATAACATTCTCTATTTTTCTGTGTATTTACTATTACCAGTGAGGTTTACACCTTCAGGTAGTTACTTATTGCTCATTAATGTCCTTGCCTTTCTGACTGAAGTACTCCCTTTAGCATTTCTTCTAGTACAGGTCTGGTGTTGATGAAATCCCTCAGCTTTTGCTTGTGTGGAAAAGTCTTTATTTCTCCTTCACTTTGAAGGATATTTTCACTGAATATATTGTACTAGGGTAAATGTTTTGTTTCCCTCAGCATTTTCAATACATCATGCCACTCTCTCCTGGCCTGAGACATTTCTGTTAAAAAGTCTGCTGCCAGCTGTATTGTAACTCCATTGTATATTATTGGTTTCTTTTCTCTTGCTGCTTTTAAGATCCTTTCTTTATCCTTGATCTTTGGGAGTGTGATTATTAAATGCCTTGAGGTAGTCTTCTTTGAGTTAAATCTGCTTGGCATTTTATAACTTTCTTCTACTTGGATATTGATATCTTTCTGTAGGTTTGGGAAGTTCTGTTACTATCCCTTTGAATAAACTTTCTAACCGCCCCCTCTCTACACCTCCTCTTTAAGGCCAATATCACTTAGATTTGCCCTTTGGATGCTATTTTCTAGATTCTGTAGGCATGCTTCACTGTTTTTTATTCTTTCCTTTGTCTCCTCTGTGTATTTTGAAATAGTCTGCCTTCAAGCTCATTAATTCTTTCTTCTGCTTCATCAATTCTGCTATTAAAAGACTCTAATACATTCTTCAGTATGCCAATTACATTCTTTGGTTCCAGAATTTCTGCTTGATTATTTTAAATTATTTCTATATCTTTGTTAAACTTATCTAACAGAGTTATGATTTTTTTCTCTGTGTTATCTTAAATTTCTTTGAGTTTCCTCACCACAGCTGTTTTGATTTCTCTGTCTGAAAGGTCACATATCTGTTTCTCCAGGATTGGCCTCTGGTGTCTTATTGAGTTCATTTGGTGAGGTCATGTTTTCCTGGATAGTGCTGATGGTAGCAGATGTCCTTTGGTGTCTAGGCATTGAAGAGTTAGGTATTTATCGTAGTTTTCACTGTCAGGACTTATTTGTACCTATCTTTCTGGGGAAGGCTTTCCAGATATTGGAAAGAACTTGGCTATTGTGATCTAAGTTGTATCTGCTTTAGGGGGCACCCCAAGCCTCCTAAACTCCGTAGTTCTTGCAGACTCATGTGGTACTGCCTTAATGGTCTTAGACAACATCCAGGATAATTCTCTGGGTTACCAAAAAGAGAGTCTTGTTCTCTTCCCTTAATTTCTCCCAAACAAACAGAGTCTTCCTCTCTGTTCTGACTCACCGTGACACAAACACCCCTGTGGCCACCACTACTATGACTGCATTAGGTCGGATGTGAAGCCAGCACAGCACTGGGTCTTGCCCAAAACCTGCTGTAACCACTCCCTAGCTATTGCATAAGTTTGCTGAAGCCCTGGGGCTCTACGGTCATCACATGGTAAAAACAGCCAGGCCTGTGTCCTTCCCTTCAGGATGGCAAGTTCTCCCAGGCTCCGGGTGAGTCCAAAGGTGCTGGGAATCAGGGCCTAGATCAAAAACTTATAATTCTACCTGGTGTTTTATTGTGCTATGGCTGAGCTGGTTGAGCTGTCACTCAAACCACAAGATGCAGTCCTCCCCACTCTTTCCACCCCTCTCCAAAAGCAGAGGAGCATCAATCTATGGCTACCAAACTCAAACACAGGCCATGGGGGGTACTGCCAGACTACCACCAAGGTTCTCCTAAGGCCCAAAGGCTTTTAAATCAGCTTGAGGTGAATCCTCTTGTTCCTTTATTTGAGGGGGGGTGGGGGGGACAGAGTCTCACCCTGTCACCCAGGCTGGAATGAAATGGCACAATCTCGGCTCACTGCAACCTCTGCCTCCTGGGTTCAAACAATTCTCCTGCCTCAGCCTCCTGAGTAGCTGGGATTACAGGCTCCCGCCACCACACCCAGCTGATTTTCGTATTTTTAGTAGAGACAGGGTTTCACCATCTTGGCCAGGTTGGTCTCGAACTCCTGACCTCGTGATCCACCCGCCTTGGCCTCGCAAAGCGCTTCTTAGAAAAGTACAAAATAGCTTTATGCATTATCAAAATAATCAAACTTACCCTTCTACAAATACTCGAAGAAGAACATCCATGAGAAAAAATAAGGCAATAGCTAGAGAAATAGAACGATACTCCAAAGGAATATAAACGTTGCTATCAGTGAAAATTAGGTCAGCAAAGATCAGAGCCACATCCAATAAGATCAGGAAAACTCCAAATATTCTACAATAAATAAATAAATAAATAAATAACAGCAAAGATAAAGGGGCTTGTGTCCCTATAGTTATACTATATTTAGGCCAATGATCGGGTACGAAAATGTTATTATTTAGTATTAAACTGCCCAGTGGCAGGAAAAACTGTACTGTTATAGAATCTTAGAAACATCACTGTTTTCATCCAATAGAAGCAGTTCTTAATAAAAAAAATTCCCACCAAACCACTTCACAAGATGTTATCATGCCTTTTTATAGTAGAAACATCACACTAACACCTCAAGAGAGAAAAGTAAAACTGAATTAAAATTACCTGTCTCTGTTTGTAAACTCTTCTTAAAATTTGAGAATTTCATAAGAAGTTTATACCCATTTCTCATAAAAAATAAAATCTTATCAATCTTGATAATTCTTAAGAATTTATTAATAAAAACCAAATGAAAGCATGAGTAACATACATTCTTAAAAGACCAAGTTTTTTGTCAGTGACATTTTCAACAAGTACATGACTACATATTTATGGACGATTCTAGCACAGTGATGGGTACATGAGAAAGAATTCAATTCCATACGTATTTATAGTACTGAACTCTAAAGTACCTCCTGAAACTTGCTGTTACATATTCTAAATACATTCCCCATAAATTGTTTACATTATTTGCCTAATCTATGAAGATGAATTCATCTTCAAAGTACTTTTCAAAAAGTTGCAGCTCAAGTTATCATTAATTCATAAGGAAACAATTATATTGTGTAAATCTATATCATATTGAATAACTCTATATCATAGTATGAAATCTTACTCTTATGTAGAGAAGAGTCTAAGTAAATTGTTTCCATAATTAAAGAGTAATTCTGGATGTATAAGGTACTTAATAAAACACGTTACTTATAATTATAGAATTTTAACACTCGATTTTCATTAACTTTACTTGTGCAGATGGAAGAAAAATAATATTAATATGTTACTATTAATCTTAGGCAAAAGCCATTTCTTTGCAAGTCTTAAAGTCGAGCTTAAACCAAACTTCCATGATAAATTAGTTTACATTAGATGGGGCACATAGCTACTTAGCAACTGATGAACAGGAAATGCTTTTTGGTTTTGTTTTTTATTTCGGTCTTTCTCATTGAAATACTAAGTATATATATATACATCTCGCTCTGTCACCCGGGCTGCAGTGCAATAGCGTGATCTCGGCTCACTGCAATCTCCGCCTCCCAGATTCAAGCGATTCTTCCACCTAGGCCTCCCGAGTAGCTGGGATTACAGGCACCCGCCATCATGCCCGGCTAATTTTTGTATTTTTAATAGAGACAGGGTTTCACCATGTTAGCCAGGCTGGTCTTGAACTCCTGATTTCAGGTGATCTGCCCGTCTCAGCCTCCCAGAGTGCTGGGTTTACAGGCGTGAGCTACTGCACCCGGCCAAGTCTCAGATATATTTAATACGTGGTGTTTTTTATGCATTAAGTCTCAGGTATATTTTATACATGGTGTTTTCTATGTCTCACATACCCAATTGCAAAGGATGATACAATTGAATGAACAATTTTCTTAATCTTGTTGCTGCAAAAAAAAGCAAAAATAAAATTAATCAGGTTTCTTCTAACCTATATCATAAATTTAACCAAAAAACAAAGGCCTTTATAAATATAATGTTAAAAGACAATTATTCAGAAGTTATATAACAAAATGCTTTTTAATAAAAACTAAAATGTTATCCTTTCTGTTCCCTGAGTATTTTACTTTCCTATCCAGAATATATGTGAATAAGACGGTAAACTTTGGATGTTTCGTAATGTTTCCATTGCATGCAAAGCCCCAACTCCAACTTTATGGCAATACTAAACTTAAACTTGTGGTCATCAACTCAAGGAATATAGCATGAAAACAGAAAAGAGTGGTAGAAGAGAACTGTATTTTAATGCCAGCCTGGGCAAGTCATCAAACTTTGGCCAGATCTCAGTTTCCACAGCAATAAAGTAAGGTATTTCAAGGATGAGCATAGGGAGTAAATGATGCTCTTGTCATCTCTTTGAGACTAGACACCTAGTGAACAGATACACATTAGTGAGAGCTGCATTTGAGGTTGCATATGATCTGCAGAAGTAAGACATTTCAGTAAGATATACTTCAAAGGAGAAACACCCAAAAGACTGGGCTCCTTCCATTAATCCAAGAAAGGAGAACCTGCTTGATGGAGCCTCCAGTAATGCCTCATTTTACCTTATGGCTGAAGACAAGGTAGCTAATAAGGAACAATTTTTTGTCCTTACTGAAGCCGCCTACTTTGGAGGCTCTTTAGGAGGAGAAGCCTCCGACATAGCAGCATCAGTAGGAAAACCCTTCAGGAAGTTTCTATCATACTGAAGCCTCCAACACAGGACTCAAATTTCACCGTGAGAGGCATGAATCCTAAAACAATGCTCCCAGTCTGTGCCTAAGACTGGAGAACAAAGAGGACAGATACTGAGAACTGGGGCACTGCCAAAATTGGCCTTTGACATGAACAGACATTTCTCAAAAGAAGACATACATGTGGCCAAGAAGCATACGAAAAATAGCTCAATATCACAGATTAGAGAAATGCAAATCAAAACCACATGAGATGCCATTTCATACCAGACAATAGTCAGAATGGCTATTATTAAAGAGTCAAAAAATAACAGATGCTGGCTAGGTTGCAGAAAAAAGGGAACACTTATACAATGTTGGTGGGAGTGTGAATTAGTTCAACCATTGTAAAAAGCAGTGTGGGGATACCTCGAAGAGCTAAAAGCAGAACTACTATTTGACTGAGCAATCCCATTACCTAGTATATACCCAGAGGAATAGAAATCATTCTACCGTAAAGACATATGCATGTAAATGTTCACTGCAGCACTATTTACAATAGTAAAGACATGGAATCAACACAAGTACCCATCAATGACAGATTGGATAAAGCAAATGTGGTACATATACACCCTGGAATACTATGCAGCCATAAAAAAGAATGAGATCAGCTGGGCACGGTGGCTCACACCTGTAATCCCAGCACTTTGGAAGGCTGAGGTGGGCAGATCACGACGTCAGGAGATAGAGACCACGCTGGCTAACACAGTGAAACCCTGTCTCTACTAAAAATACAAAATAAATTAGCCGGGTGTGGTGGCAGGCACCTGTAGTCCCAGCGACTTGGGAGGCTGAGGCAGGAGAACGGCATGAATGCGGGAGGCAGAGCTTGCAGTGAGCTGAGATTGTGCCACTGCACTCCAGCCTGGGTGACAGAGCGAGACTCTGACTCAAAAAAAAAAAAGAGAATGAGATCATGTCTCTTGTGGGAATGTGGATGGAGCTAGAGGCAATTATCCTTAGCAAACTAGTGCAGAAAGTGAAAATCAAACACTGAATGTTCTCGTCTGTAAGTGGTAGCTAAATGATAAGGATGTAAGAACACAAGGAGGGAAACAAACACTGGGGTCTACTGAAGCAGGGAGGGTAGGAGGAGAGAGACAAGCAAAAAAGATCACTATTTGGGTACTGAGCTTAATACCTGGGTGATGAAATAATATGTAAAACAAACCTCCCTGACATGTGTTTACCTATGTAACAAACTTTCACACGTACCTCCAAACCTAAAATAAAAGTTAAAAAAACAAAATTGGTCTTTGACGAATGATGTTAATCTGAGATAAAGGAAATCCTCAATCCTTCTAAACTTCCCCTCCTCCACCTGGACCCACCACCTCTCCCCAGGCTTAGAAAGTTAAGGCTGATGTAGACAGAGGATCAATTGGCCAAAAGGGGCGAATTCTTTCCTGAAGTTGCCATTCTCTTACAAGAACCTCTGATCCCACACAGCCTACTGGATCTCTGGGTATCAAGGAAATGTCATCAATCTGAATTCACTTGACAATATGACCATACAGAACCAAGCTTGACAGATCATGAAGGCATGAAGGAGCAGCTTGGGTAGTTGAAGCCCCTTCAATCTGTTTCAGTGTCCCCTGAAACTATACCAAGTAAACATACAATTGAGACTTTTTTGGTTTAAAAAGTGTATTATGTAAATGCAGCTTCAAGCAGTTACGTGCAGAGTTTGCAGGGAAATAGCTATGACTCAATAAATCTGTATCCAGGAAAAATACCATTGACATTTGAGAGCAACAGACAGACACTCCAACATGCAACAACTCAAAGCATAGCCTCTATGTACCTTTCCTAAAAACAATTACTCAAAGTGCTTGAGTCAGCTGAGCAATGAATCAAAATGAAGAACATAGAAATAAGGAAGATGACTTATAGAGAAAAGATGGTAAATAATATAAACTCAGAAGTAAGTCTAAATAAATCTGGTAATGTAGCATAAAAATGTAGTACGTGAAAATGTAAATAAATGATTGTAAAAGTAAAGACAATATAAAATTACCAATAATAGTATTGATTTAAATTTTCGGCATTATTACACTAGGATTCAAGGTTTGGAAGAAGATAGAAGTAAAGGCAGATTGCATTTCCTATCTTTTACAAGTACAAGTCCAGTTTTATTCTTGATATTGATGGAGAAAAATGGTATAATTATGTTTTCTAAATATTTAAATATAAACATTGATAGACTAGAAATGGGCTTCTGACTTGCATATCAGTAAAAAATGAAAGGGATAAAAACAAATCAATTACTAGCAAATTTAAAAAGAAAATATCAAAGTATTTTTCATAAAGAAAAAGTAAGATAATAAAGCCAAACATACCAGAAATCATAAATACAGACATATTACTCTCATCTTCCATATTGAGAAATACTCTCAGATAACTTTAAAATTAAAGGCAATACATGCTATACACAAGAGACAAAAACTAAATTGAAATGACAGTTTAAAAATAAAGAGATAGAGGCTGGGCGCAGTGGCTCACGCCTGTAATCCCAGCACTTTGGGAGGCCGAGGCGGGTGGATCACGAGGTCAAGAGATCGAGACCATCCTAGCCGACATGGTGAAACCCCATCTCTACTAAAAATACCAAAAATTAGCTGGGCATGGTGGTATACACCTGTAGTCCCAGCTATGTGGGAGGCTGAGTCAGAAGAATGGCTTGAACCCGGGAGGTGGAGGTTGCAGTGAGCCAATATCACGCCAGTGCACTCCAGCCTGGCCACAGAGTCAGATTCCATCTCAGAAAAAAAAAATGAGAAAAAGATATGAGATACTAAACTTAAAACACTGAAAGTTCCAATATTAATATCAAAGTTGAATTCAAAGCACAAATATTAACTATGACCATGACTTATTTTTTATCAATAGAAGGTGGAAGCTACATGACACGTTTTGCGGGAAGTCAGGGACCCTGAACGGAGGGACCAGCTGAAGCCGCGGCAGAAGAACATAAATTGTGACGATTTCATGGACATTTATTAGTTCCCCAAATTAGTACTTTTATAATTTCTTACACCTGTCTTTACTGTAATCTCTGAACATAAATTGTGAAGATTTCATGGACACTTATCACTTCCCCAATCAATACTCTTGTGTTTTCCTATGCCTGTCTTTACTTTAATCTCTTAATCCTGTCATCTTCTTCATAAACTGAGGAGGATGAATGTTGCCTCAGGACCCTGTGATTGTGTCAACTGCACAAACTGTTTGTAGAGCATGTGTGTTTGAACAATATGAAATCTGGGCATCTTAAAAAAAGAACAGGATAACACCAATGTTCAGGGAACAAGAGAGGTAACTTTGAACTGGCCGCTGGTGAGCTAGACAAAACAGAGCTATATTTCTCCTCTTTCAAAAGCAAATTGGAGAAATATCGCTGAATTCTTTTTCTCAGCAAGGAACACCCCTGAGAAAGAAAATGCGCCCTTAAGGTAGCCTTATAGATGGCCCCTTTTAAGGCGTGCTGTCTTTTGTGGTTGAAGCCCAAGGGATGAAATAAGCCCCCGTCTCCTGTAGTGCTCCCAGGCTTATTAGGAGGAGGAAAATTCCCGCCTAATACATTTTGGTCAGACAGGTTGTCTGCTCTCAAACCCTGTTTCCTGAGAAGATGTTATCAACGACAATGCGTGCCAGACACTTCATTAGCAATTTTAATTTCGCCTCATCCAGTAGTCCTGTCATCCTGCCCTGCCTCCATTTGCTTTGTGATATTTTATTACCTTATGAAGTATGTGATCTCTGTGACCCACACCCTATTCGTGCACTCCCTCCCCTTTTGAAAATTGCTAATAAAAACTTGCTGGTTTTACGGCTTGGGGAACATCATGGATCCTGCCGATATGTGATGTCTCCCCCGGACACCTGGCTTTAAATTTCTCTCTCTTGTGCTCTTTCCCTTTATTTCTCAACCCAGCCGAGACACTGAGGAAATAGAAAAGAACCCACGTTAAACATTGGGAGCGGGTTCTCCCGATAGACATTAACAAGACCATTTTTAATGAAATGGGATTTGTATTGAGGGCAGGTGCTATCTCTCCCACAGGACACATTTGTCTCTGGTACAGACTGGCAGTATGGAGATGGCCATGATGCAAAGCACTGAAAACACTGTACTGACTCTCTGGTCTTCCTGCTCTCACTCTAGATCACTAAAACAGGGTAAGCACAATACAGGGGGATGACATTTTGATGCTGTGAAAACTATTCGTCACACAGGAGAAAAGTAAATTTCTACACGTTATACCTTAAGACAAAGTAAATTCAGGGCAGCTATTTTATTTAAATGAAGAAAATGAATTCAAAACAGAAATCTTGGTGAATATATTTAAAATCTTGGGGTAAAGAAGGTCATAGTTAATATTTGTGCTTTGAATTCAACTTTGGATTTTTTTTTCTGAGAATAATATTAAAGGCATGAATCACAAAGAAAAGAACAGGTACATTGGATTATATGAAGATTAAACACTTTTATATAGTGAAAAGCAAGACAACCTAGGAGAAATTACTTGTATTACATAAAATAGAAAAAGGATCAACAGATTTAACTTTTCAGTCTGAAGACAGAAAAGCACCCCAATTTTAATTGGGCAAAGGTAGTTTGGAAATGATGAAATATTAACTGAAAAAAGCATAAATGAAGGTATGTCAAGGAATGTGCATTAGAACAAACATATTTACTAATATCAAAGAAATCAATGATGGCTAGCAGTAAGTACTGGAGGAGAGAAATGTACACTTTTGCATCTTGATGTTCAAGCACATACCAATATCAATAGCGTCACAAGCATTCCCTTTGATACAGGATTTCCACTTCTGAGAATTTGTAATAAACAAATAACCAACAATATACAAAGATTTAGCCTCAAATATATTCATTTTCTGTAACAGTTAAAACTTGTAAAAAACGTAATTGTTCAGCAATATCTATTAAATGAATTATAACACATCTACACCACGCAGTATTACACAACTATTACAAATAATGTTGTAAGTGCACATGAATATACATTAAAAAGAAAACATAGACATGATGCCATTAAGTAATAAAGTTATTTACAAAAGAATATAAGTATGGTCTTGTATCTGTAAACATAAAAATGTATAGGCTTAAAGAACTTAGAAGTTCATGTATCAAAGTTTAAGAATGACTAAATGTGGATAGGTTTGTTGATTGTATTTTCTGATTTTCCTTTCATAAACTCTTATGTTGTTTTCAGTTTTTGGCACAAAACCTATTTACAGAGCTACAGAATTTTCAAAGTGTTTTTGCATGTTATTTTAGTTTTATTACTAATTTTTTACAGTACAATATCCACTACATAGAAAGCATTATAACCAGTTTACATTTGAATAATCTAAAAGTTAAACAGGTTTAGTGACTTGTTGAGTATCAGGTGAATGAATACATGATGTCAAAGCCAAGCACTGATTCCAGCTTTTACTCTAAATCCAAGATCATCCCCCTGGTATGAAACACCAGTGATTCTCACAGGGACTACTGCCAATTCCTCCTATGTCTATGCAATGAGACTTTGTAACTTAAACATAAAACAAAACAAAAACCTGCTTTATTTTGTTTGGAGTGGGGAAAGAAAAAGGAAATGCTTGCCTTGCTCAGTCTGTCTAGTTTTCCCTCAGCCCTGGGCAGCTCCATTACAGAAAATGTATAGCTAGTATGCAGACACACAGTTTAGTTAAGTGGTGCCGTGAATTCTTCATTGATGGCCCATGATAAAAATTTCTAGAAAATGAAAACTCAGGGTAATTTGAAGAACTATTTGTATTGCCCTCTGTTTCCCATGTAATCTTTGTTTAGACACCAACAGCTTACAACCATGATGAGTTAACTTCCTCTATGGCAGTACTTCCTCTCCAATACTGACACAAGCTGGTGAATGGTTACACAACTGGGCAAGAAAGAAGCAGACGAAAAATCTCCTGAATATGTCTGCAGTTCAGGCACAAGCCAGTTTAAGAATGTATTGTTTCATTACAGTGAGTGCATGGTAAAATGCCTTCAGGTCAGTGCAATAGGAAGTACTCAGTACTCTAGTGAGATTAGAAACAGAGAAGAATAAAATCCCAATGAGCATAAAGAGGTCTTTAGTCAGCAAAACATGTTTGCTTTTGCTATCAATACCATTTGCTCATAGGTGAAATCTACAAAACTGGGAATCACACATGATCCAGTACAAATGAGAAAGGTTCGCTATTGATGAGTAAGTAGCATTCTGCATTCCTGTTTTCTTTTAAAATAAAAAAACTTCTCATGAAGTTAATTTCTTCTAAGGATACCTTTTACATTTTCAAGCTAGAAGAACATTTATTCCTGAATGGATGGATGTTTTTTTTTTCCAAAATAATACTTGTCTAAGTATTCAGTTGGAATAAATATGGTATACTCTCCCACCCATGCATTTTGATATCCTTCCACAGTTTCCCTTTTTCCTTCTTGCCTCAGCGTAAGCCCTGTTTAACTAAAGAAAAGAGATCCATCAATGGCTCCCTCCTTTCAGACTTCAAACTGACTTACTCATATGAAGCGACATATTCAGCATTTTCATAATCTTCAAACCTGGAAAGTCGTTCTGACACACTTTAGCCACCAAAAAAATGCAAAAATATATCATTAGATATTTGCTACACAAAACAGTGATGAAGAATTTATTTGAATAACAAGAATTCCAGGAATCTAAAGGATATAGTAAACACCACTTAGCTCACTGGAAGACCTAACATTTAAGAAGGAAAATTACAATCATTAACCAGAAACTCTGTTCTCATGGATACTCCCAACACTGAATGTTGCATATTTTTCTCTTCTTTTCTCTCTCTCTCTCTTTCTATACATGTATATAAAGATATATAAAAGAATACATATAGTTATAGAATACATAAATGTGTATAGACATATCGCAAAGACATTGTGGGTTTCATTCTAGACCATGCAATAAAGCAAAAACTGCATCAAGTGACTCACATAAATGTTTTAGTTTCCCTATGCATATAAAAGTTATGATTATACTACACTGTAGTCTGTTAAGTGTGCAATGGCATTATGTCTAAAAAAATTATGTACATACCTCAATGTAAAACTACTTTATTGGTTTAAAATATGCTAATGATCACCTGAGCCTTTAGCAAATCATGATCTTTTTGCTGGTGGAGGGCGTTGCCTCCATGTTGATGGCTGCTGGCAGATCAGAGTCATGGTTGTCAATGGTTCTGGTGGCTGAGGCAATTTCTTAAAATAAGACAACAACGAACTTCACTGTATCAAATGACTCTTCCTTTCACAAGTGATTTCTCTGTAACATGTGATGCCATTTGATAGCATTTTATTCACAGTAGAACTGTTTTCAAAATTGGAGTGAATCCTCTCAAATCCTACCACTACTTTATCAACTATACTTTATTTATATAGAATGAGTTAGGAAGACTTTCCTCTAATTTTTTGCAATAGTGTAAGAATTGATATTAGTTTATTTTTTAAACTAGGTAGAATTAAGCGGTGAAGTCATCAGATCCTGGACTTTGTTGAAAGTCTTTTTGTTACTGATTCAACCTCATTACTTCTTTTTGGTCTGTTCAGGTTTTCGATTTCTTCTTGGTTTAGTCTCAGTAGGTTGTATGGGTCAAGGATTTTATCCACTTCCTCTAGGTTTTCAAATTTATTGTAGAGTTGTTCATAACAGTGTCTAATAATCCTTTTGATTTCTGTCATATCTGTTGTGAGGTCTCTTTTCTTGTTTCTGATTTTATTTATATGGGTCTTCTCCTTTTCTTAGTCTAGCTGACAGTTTGTTATTTTTAAACCTGCTTTTTGTTGTTAACCTTTTGTAAATCTTGCCTCAATTTTCTTTATTTCTGTTTGGTCTTTATTATTCATTTCCTTTTAATAATTTGTGATTTGGTTTGTTCTTGCCGTAGTAGTTTCTTGAGGTAGAATTGTTAGGTAGTTTATTGGAAATTTTTCTAGTTTTTTGATCCAGGTGTTTATTGCTATGAACATGCTTCCTAACCTTCAAAGTTATTATTGGTAGGTGAGGAGTTACTTCTGACATTTTATTGTTTTCTGGTTGTTTTGTATGTTTTGTTCCTTTCTGCCTCTCTATTTACTTTTGTAGTTGGGTAGTTGTCTGTAGTGATAAGGTTTCATCCCTTTCTCTTTCTCTTTTATGTATTGACTCTACCAGCAACGTTTAAAGTTTTACATGTTTTTATGATGGTGGTTATCACCTTTTTACTTCCAGAAGTAAGACTCCCTTGGGCATTTCTTGTAAGGCTGGTCTAGTGGTGATGAATTATCTTGGTTTTTGTTTATCTGTGACAGATTTTATGTCTTCCTCATTTGTAAAGGATAGCTGCACTGGGTATAATATTCTCGGTTGAAAGATTTTTTCTTTCTTTCAGAACTTTGAATATATCATCTCATTCTTTTCCAGTCTAAGGTTTCTGCAGGGAAATCAGCTGTTTGTCTAATGGGAATTCCATTGTAAGTGTTTTCCTCCTTTTCTCTTGCTATCTTAAAAAATCTTTGTCAGCAGCTGTTTGCCTGCTTGGAAGCATGCACTCCAGGAGTGGCCCGAAGGGCTGTTTCCCATGCCTGGTATGTGGGTACACAGCTGCTCATCTGGCCTGAGGCCAGTCTGCTGGGGGAAACCCATGGGCCAAATATAGAGCTGCATGGCTGCTATGCTGGACTGAAGGCATCTTTGGCAGGGCTGGCCAACAGCGGGTGTTTCTCAGGCCTGGGATACAGTCAAATAACTTCTCAGCTGTCCTGGAAGTGTGTCTGCTGGGGGTGGTCCATAGGGCTATTGTAGCTCAGGATGTGGGCACACTGCTGCTCAGCTGGCCTGGGTGGTGCCTGCCAGGGGAAGCCCAGGGGGCTGCTTCTATGACCTAGGATGTGGGCACAAGGCTGCTCAGCTGGCCTAGGGGCATGTCTTCTGGGAGTAGCCCATGGGGCTCTTTCTCAGGTCCAGGACATGGACATTCATGGCTGATTGGCTGGTCTGGAGGCGCATCTGCTGGGAATGGGTACAGGAATGTTTCTCAGGCTCGTGAAAGGTTGCACAACTGCTTAGTTGGCCTGGGAGCATCTCTGTGGGGGGTGACCTACAGGGCTGTTCCTCAAACTGGGACATAGTATGTGGCTGCTTAGTTGGCCTGAGGGTATGCTGGCTACAGTAAGCTCCCAGGGTTGTTTCTCAGCCCTGAGACTCAGGCACACACAGCTACTTGTTTCTCAGGTCTGAGACACAGGTTCAAGGCCCACTCAGTGGTGTGCCTGCTGGGGGCAGCCTGTGGGACTGTTTCTCAGGCCCTTATTAAAGGCAGAGGGCTGCTGGGCAGGTCAGGAGCATGCCTGTGGTGGATGAGGCCTGCAGGGCTGTTTCTCAGGTCCTGAGCATAGACTCATAGTCACCCTGTTGACCTTGGAGTGTATCAGCTGCTCAGAGGCTTAGGGGACTCTCCCACTTGAGAGAGGGCATGTAGTGGTTTGGCTAGCTCAAGAGTGAGCTCACCCTGGATGGGACTGCAGATTATTCCTCTGTCTGAAAGTGTAGTAGTGGGGGTTGATTTCCCTGCTCTTCAGGACTTGAGTTACCGCCCATCCTGGGACCAACCTCCACACAGCTGGGGTTGTGGCTTTAACCCACCCATGTGGGTTTGGTATACTGAAGGTAAAGCTCCAGTGCTGGAGAGGCACAGTGGCTACTGGCCTCCAGAGGAGGGCACACTCACGAGATGACTCTGGTCTCAAGCTGGTGATGTGTTGCTGCAGCTTAGGTCTCTGGGGGTGGGAAGCCTTCACCTTGTACTCCTAGTCCAGGACATGCAACTGTGTAAATTCTTGGCAGTACTCCACCCTGGCCTCAGGGCTTGCAAATACTGTGAGATGTTCCTTAAGACTCTGCGTTTGTGATGGCAGTGGGGCTGGTGGGGATCTTCTCCTTACCTTCACCCTGCAATGAGAAGTCCTTCCTGTCTCTGGGCCAATTCAAACCAGGTGGGGGAGAAGGGGCTGCAGAGGCTGAGTGCTTCCATGCTGTGGGGGCCTTCCAGTCAGTACAGGTGTGTCTCTACTCCTTTGCTGCACTCCAGGACTATTCCTTTGACACTCTAATCAGACCTTAGATGCGTATTTGTTGCCTAGGTTTTTTCTTGTAGGGGAAATGAGCATAAGGCATCTCTAGTCACCCATCTTGCTTCATTTAGCATAATTCGTAAGAGCCCTAGGATTTTCAGAACACTCAATGATCACTGGCCTCAACTTAGTCACCAGCTTCATTAGCCCCTAAAAAAGAATCGGCCTGTGCTTTGAAGCTTTGAAACCATGCATTGACTTCTCCTCTCTAAATATAAAAGTCCTAGATGGCATCTTCTTCCAATAAAAGGGTATCTTGTCTACACGGAAAATCTGTTGTCTAGTGTGGCCACCTTCATCAGCTGTCTCAGCTACATCTTCCGGATAACTTGCTGCTGCAGGATAACAGCACTTGCTGTTTCACCTTGCACTTTTATGTTATGGAGATGGCTTCTTTCCTTAAACCTCATGAACCAACCTGTTAGCTTCAAGCTTTTCTTCTGCAACTTACTTACCTCTCAGCCATCGCTGAATTGTAGAGAGAGAGGGCCTTGTCCTGGATTAGGCTTTGGCTTAAGGAAATGCTATGGCTGGTTTGATCTTCTATCCAGACTACTAAAACCTTCTCCATATTAGCAATCAGACTGTTTTGCTTCCTCATCATTTGTACATTCACTGGAGTAGCAGTCTTAATTTTCTTCAAGACTATATATGTACATATATAAATATACATATACACATATATACACATATATACACATATACACACATATATACACATATATACATATATACATATATATATATATATATATATATATATATATATATTGCATTCACAACTTGTCTGACTGGTGCAGAAGTCTAGCCTTCCTCACAATCATTTTGAGCTTTTAGTTTGTACTGAGAGGCTTGTGACTCTTCCTTTCACTAGGGACACTTAGAAACCCTCATAGACTTATTAAATGACCTACTTTCAATATTGTTGTCTCAGGAAATAAGGAGGCCCAAGAAGAGGGAGAGAGATGGGGGATGTCTCCTCTGTGGAGCAGTCAAAAAACACATGACATTGATTAAGGTAGTTGTCCTATAGGGCATGGTTCATGTTCATGTTGACCCCAAAGACTTACAATAGTAACATCAAAGATCACTGATCACAGATCATAACAGATAGGTTAACAACAAGAAAAATAGGCTGGGTGCGGTGGCTCACACCTGTAATCCCAGCAGTTTGGGAGGCCAAGTTTGGCGGATCACAAGGTCAGGAGTTTGAGACCAGCCTGAGGAACACGGTGAAACCCCGTCTCTACTAAGAATATAAAAATTAGCCGGGCATGGTGGCGGGCGCCTGTAATCCCAGCTACTCAGGAGGCTCAGGCAGGAGAATCGCTTGAACCTGGTAGGCAGAGGTTGCAGTGAGCTGAGATCGCACCACTGCATGCCAGCCTGGGTGTCAGAGTGAGAGTCTGTCTCAAAAATAAAAAAAGTTTAAGATATTGCAAGAATTCCCAAATGTGACACAGAGACACAAAGTGAGCACATGCTGTTAGAAAAATGAAACCAAGAGACTTGCGCGATGCAAGGTTGCTACAAACCTTCAGTTTATAAAAAACTAGTATCTGAGGGGCAATAAAGCACAATAAGGTATACATGTATACGCATACACATGTGTACATATATACTATATATGTATACATACATGCTAAACTATATATACATGCATGTCTATATGCTAAAGTATATATATTAAAAAGACTACTAATGTTATTAATTGGGGTCAGTGCTATAGAATATATCTATATAGATACATATATGTACATAAAGATATGTATATATCTATATATGCACATATATACATATAGATATATGTATATAGGTATGTTCATACATATACACACATACATGTATGTAGGTATCTATATATACTAAATATATATATGAAGAATACACCTATTTATACACACACACACACATATTCACGTGTGTGTGTGTGTGTGTAGATAAATCCTTTAGCAATGACCTAGATTAATAACATTAGTAGTCTTCAATGACACCACCATTGAAAGGTGACTTATATCAGATATATCAAAGTGGTGAAAGACTACTGATGTCATTTTATCTGGGCCAGTGCTAAGGAGTAAAAATGTCCATGCCAGATCAAGCGACTCAGAGACTTACTTTTCTGGTTGAAGTTATGGACAATTGCTCTACTACATTTATAAACTGGTTGAACTCTGAAAATGTATATGTCAGTTAATTATTTGGAATCTAGTATTAATATATCATTTTTCTCCCTAAAAGAAAGCCTTATATCATGTAAAAAAGCTCTTGGGCCTTAACAAACAGTCTAGTGAATCAACATTTAAGTGCAGTTCTTTATTACTTCATTTGTGAGTGAATCTTACCAATCTCAATTATCTCCCTCTCTTCTTTCTCTCCATATATTAATGACTCTACCACATATTACTCTTTTTAGTTCAATGGCGTAATAGCTAAAGCATTAAAAATGAATGTAGCAAGACTCCACGTCTTCCTAGACTTATTTTTCTGATACAAATTAGCAATAATTACTCTACAATTTATAATCTAGTTACCCTAAAAATTGACATGTTAATCAGTTATTTATTTCAAACCTGGTATTCAACTTTTCTCTAGAAATGAGGTTTCAAATGTTTGTAATGAAATTCTTAGGCCTGTGAAAAAAACTTAATGAATCAAGTTTATATACATTTCTTTACTCCTAACCCTAATCCCCAAGTTACCATTTCTGGCAAAATTTACAGAAGTTCAACTTCAGTTTGTAAATACCCACCTTGCTTACCCTTGTAATTTTCTGCTTTCTCAAGTTCAGATACCACCAATAACTCTTCACCAATCATGGATGTCTTTTCTGCCCTCAGATACGATTAAGTAACTGCAGACCTAAGGCAGGGGCTCCATCCAATCTGATGGTGGGTTTGCCTTTGGGAAAGTAACCTCATGTGGTAACAGAGGAAGAGACCAAGGTTCTACTAGCTTTGTTCTTTTCTGTTGACAGTTCCTCAGCTCCCTGCCCACTGTTAGCTCCCCCATGCTAAGAATAGGACTGTCTCCTCTCTTGCCTCACTCATATTTTCCTAAGGTTTTTGGCTGCTGCTAAGTAAGAGTGACCAATGCAATAGGAATAAGAAGCATTGCTCTTATGACATGTTCCTTTTTTATCCAACTAGATCCAAAAAGGATAGAAAGGTCACTGCAGATACTACCGTAATTAGACTTTAGAAAACAGTGTCTGAGACACCCTGTGTTGTTATGGATGCTCCAGACAATGAACTAGGCAAATCTGAATCTCTCTTCTCTACATGTATGCTTTTGTGTGTGTGTGTGTCTATGTGTATATTTACATATATATATTTACATCCAGCTTTTAATTTATTTAGACCTCACTTTTTGTTGAAGGATGCTTCATGAGTTATTGTCATTTCACTGAAGGCAGTGCTAATGGAGTAAAAAGGTACACAGACATATAAACACCGCATGATTTTCTCTTTTATTGACACTATTAGCAAAAACATCTTTTGCACCAAAAGGAGTAGTTTTTCCATAAAAATAAAATATCAAATATACACATAAGTAATGGGTGAGGGTATGCAAATCCTACCATATAACTCCAGTAAGTAAATTCCAACAATTAACAGACTCATTTTTCAATGGCCAATTAATTAAACAATGATGATATACAAATTAAACCTATCTACATATTAGAAATACATTTTAATTCACCCATGCCTCCACTGTACTATAAAATGAATAGAGCTGGGCGCAGTGGGTCACGCCTGTAATCCCAGCACTTTGGGAGGCCGAGGTGGGCGGATCACGAGGTCAGGAGATCGAGACCATCCTGGCTAACAGGGTGAAACCCCGTCTCTATTAAAAAAAAATGCAAAAAATTAGCCGGGTGTGGCAGCGGGTGCCTGTAGTCCCAGCTACTTGGGAGGCTGAGGCAGGAGAATGGCATGAACCCGGGAGGCAGAGCTTGCAGTGAGCTGAGATCGCGCCATTGCGCTCCAGCCTGGGCGACTGAGCAAGACTCCGTCTCAAAAAAAAAAAAAAATGAATAGAGAAGATTTTTATTTACCGGCTTAAGAAATCAATACTACATATTCAACTCATGTACTACTGCTTAATGAGCAATTACAGAATTCACACCTTGATGTTTCCTTGCAAAAGAAGTGGTAATACATAACACAAAGAACCTCTTTAAAAATTAGTCACTGATTAAACACAAACTTCTTATAGCTTCTGGAACATCTAATTAATTTTTTTAATTTTCTTGAGCATTAACTATAATTAACTTGCATCAGGTTTCATTTTTCATGATTTATTTCTAGTAGAAGTCTGAACATGCCTGTGAAAACCATCCATCAGGTCCTTCCTTTCACCCATCATACTAGTCTTTCCTGTCCATGAGACAGAGGCAAGTAGCTGTGGGCCTGAGGAAAGGCTGCATCCAGTGAGTTGGTGCGTTTGGGGTTGGGTCTGGCCACCAACCTCACATGTTGACAGAGGTCTGGATGGTAAGGGACAAGTCCTGTTCCATTAGCTCCATTCCTTTCTGCCCAGGGCTCCACTGCTCCTTGTCTGCTGCTCTGTCCTCCATGTTGCAAATAGGATTCTCGCCTCCCTTGGGGCCACTCTGGTAGGCTCTCGAACTCAGGAACTCTGAGTCCCTTAAAAAACTGCTTACTAAGAACTAAGGGTGACGAATACACTAACAGGAAGAAGCAACCTTCTATGACTTGCTCCTCTTTATATAACTCCATCAAAAAAGGATGCAAAGTTACCTACAAATGCTACAATGAGAAGAACTGGAAACCCACTAAGAACACTCTGTATGGTCATGTAGGCTCCTGAGAGAAAATTCCACAAATGTCCATCTGTCTCCTTGTTTTATGATTCAATTGTGTGCGTGGGTTGGTTTGTGCACGTGTGTTGAGAAAAATGTGTATAGATCGATGGGTAAATAGATTTGTTTATGTGCCTGTGTGTATATATATATACTTCTACGCACACTTACGCATACATGTGTCTTTATTTATCTATTTATAACTCACCTTTCATAGATACAAGCCTCCTTGGTTCCTCCTGTCAGTTCACTTGTGTGGGGACTAGAGGATGATAAAAGAATACAGTCAGACAGGTGACATAATTTGAAATTTACTTTTCGGGAAAAACTAGCTTTCATTACTCTAAACATATACTGGTTAATTTCTGACTATTCATGTGTATAGCACTATTTGGATCTGAAACATCATTTTTTATCAAAAATCAGGATTTATATGATGGCTACCACCATCTTAGGATGGAGAAAATAGTAATGCTTCCAGATTCAAGTAAACCTTTTAATTACAGCCTCATCCCAACATGTGACAGCCTTTGTGGCGGCAGTTATTTCAAACTCAACTCCAATTTTTAGATAGTCATCCCTCCTAATCCATTGAATGTCCTGCTTCAAAAACCCTCCATTACCTCCTTACTTTCAACCAGCACGGGCGACTCCCCAGCCCCACAAAACGCATCAAGTAACTAGAGGTCTTTCACAGGGGCACAACCCAATACGATGGTGATATAAGGTCTGGAGCACCAGCCTCCATAGTGGCAGAGTTCTGGAGGGTGGAGAACACCTCCAAGGCTCTTAGCTCTGTTCCTTTCTGCTGAGGACTTCACAGTTCCCCAAGTACTCCTACCTCTTCCTTGCTCCAAATAGGATTTTCTCTTCCCTCACCCCACTCTAGTATTTCTCATACACAGAAAATCTGAGTTGCTAAGGTATTTGGCTCCTAGTAACAAATGGTGAAAAGCCAGTGACAGACGGAAGCTTCTCTCTATACACTACTCCTCTTTTCTCCAAAACAACTGTAAAAATGTGGATGTTTAACTATAGGTGCTACAGTGAGAAGATGAACTGTGTCCAAGACACTCTGTATTGCCATGGACACTCCTAAGAGCGAATCCCACTAATCATAATATCTTCCTCTATCACTGTTTTGTTTGTACCTCTATGTTAGTGTGAACATCCTTTATAACTCACATGTCGTCGGTGTCTGTATCGATGACGACTTCCACCAGGTCATCAGGATGGGGACTACGGGACAAATATGATCAGAATCAGACACGACGCATAATTCTAATGTTTTGCATCAAATAGCTACACTAACTCGATGAGTGATTCCTTACATACACTTTAAAAAAATATATATATATATATGTATGTATACCTGTAAATTGAACTGGGATGAAATTTTTTCTTATTGAAAATGAAGTTTTATGTGCCAACAGTGAATATCTTAGGCTGGGAACATAGCGATGCATCCAGATTAAGCAACTGTATCTTCACCTCAATATGTAACAACCTTTTTTGAGGGGAGCTAACTCCAGTTCAACTTTAGTTTTTAAGTCCCCTTCTTATAATTTCACCTGAGTTCCTCCTTCTCTATCACCTCCAATCACCTCCTCAGTTTTCACCCATCCTAGTTGTCTTTCCTGCCCAAGAGTTACGGCCAAGTAGCTGCAGGCCTCAAGCAAGGGCTTCATTCCATGGGATGGTGGGTATGGGCCAAGGGAGTCAGCCCCACATTATGGCAGAGCTCTGGAGGGCATAAAATACTTCCAGGGTTATTAGCGCTGTTCTTTTTTTTACAGTGGTTTCTCTGCTCTTTGTCCCCTCCTATCTCCTTCTCGTTCCAAGCAGGATTCGCTTCTTCCTTGGTCCACTCTATGAATACAGTCTCATTCCCACAGAAAGGAAAGGTGACAAACCCTAACATAAAAAGCCTCCCTCTATGAGTTCTTCCCTATTTTCCTACCTCCATCCAAAAAGCAAAAGAATATTCTGTACAAAGCTCATCCTGAGACGACTCTGGAAATTGTTTCAAGGGAACACCTTGTTCCCACGGATGCTCCTGACGGTGAATAGCCCAAATCTCTCTCTCTAGTGTGTATGAATGCATGGATGTGTGTGTTTGAATATGCATATATACATGTATAATTGTCCTCCTTTATATCACATATTACAATGGACAGCCTACTAAAAGATACTCTCAGTTCACACACAGCGCAGTGCCAAAGGACTTAAAACATACATAGTAAGACAACATGTAACTTCCTAGACTTAACATTTTCAGTTCAAACTAGTTCCTATTATTTTTTTTCTTTTTTTTTTTTTTTCTTTTAATTGAGACAAAGTCTCACTCTGTCACTCAGACTGGAGTCCAGTGGCATGATCTTGGCTCACTAAAACCTCTCCCTCCTGGGTTCAAGTCATTCTCCTGCCTCACCATTCCGAGTAGCAGGAACTACAGGCGCACGACCCACACCTGGCTAATTTTTGTATTTTTAGTAAAGACAGGATTTCACCAGGTTGGTAACGCTGGTCTTGAACTCCTGACCTCGTGATCCACTTGACTTGCCCTCCCAAAGTGCCGGGACCACAGGCGTGAGCCAATGCACCCAGCCTTCCAACTACTTTTCAACCTGTAAACAGATCTACCCTACAGAATGTGTAGGAATATGCCTACACATTTATCCTACACTTCATACTTTCTACGATCTCTTTCTAATCTGCCATGCCATTTAGCCTACACACCATACTTTCTACGATTGCGGCACATTTTACACCGATCCAAGACTCACTGACTCAAGTGTTAACCTAAACTGTCTACCACTGAAACTGACCAATGCCTGACAGCCATTTGTGGGTGAATTTCTCTTAAATTCATCTCCACTGTGTAGGCAGTCATTCTCCTAATCCCATCTATGGCCCGCTTCCTAGATCTCTCCATCATGTCTTTCTTTCACCCATCATGCTGGTCTTTCCCATCCATAAGACACAGGCAAGTAAGTACCTGCGGCCCTAAGGAAGAGCAGCATCCAGTGAGATGGCATGCTCCTGTTTGTTATAGCACCAACCTCATATGTTGACAGAACTCTGGAGTCTGAGGGACAAGTCCATGTTCCCTTAGCTCCATTCTTTACCCAGGGTTTAACTGCTCCTTGTCAGCTATTATCTCCTCCATGTTGCAAATATGATTCTCTCCTCCCTTGTGTCAATCTGGTAGATTCTCAAACTCAGGATATCTGAGTCCTTTAAGAAACTGCTTACTAGGAACTTACTAGGTGACAAATACACTAACAAGCAGCAGCAGCTCTCTTAGGACTGGCTCCTTTGTATACAACTCCAATGGAAAAGGATGCAATGTTACCTACAAAGGCTACCATGAGACGAATTGCAGACCCTGTTAAAAACCACTCTCTGTGGCCATGCAGGCTTCTCAGAATAAACTCCACAAATGTCCGCCCATCTGTCTACTTATTGTATGTTTCCATTGTGTGCGTGGGTTTGTTAGTGGACGTGTGTTCAGAGAAGTGGGGATGGATGGATACATGGATGGATGGATGGATATATTTGTTTATGTGTCTGGGTGTGTGACTACTTCTATGAACAGTTATGTATATGTGTGTCTTTATTTATTTAACTATAACTCACCTTTCATTGATACATGCCTCTGGGTTTGCTGTTGTCAATTCATTAGTGGGTGGACTAGAGGATGATAAAAGAATACAGTCAGAGAGGAGACACAATTTGAAATTTACTGTTGTGGAGAAACTAGCTTTCATTACTCTGCACATAAACCAGTGAAGTTCTGACTATGCATGTGTATAGCACTATTTTGTTCTGAAATGTCACTTTTTTAATTAGAAAGGAGGAGTTATACGATGGCAACTAACATCTTAGGCTGGGGAAAATAGTAATGCTTCCAGATTTAAATAAACTTCTTTATTATGAACTCAGTCCCAGTGTGTATCAGACAGTGTGGCAATTATTTCAAACTCAACTTGTGTTTGGAGGTCGTCAGCCCCCTTATTTCACTGAATGTCCTGTTTCAAAGGCCCTCCATTACCTCCTTACTTTCAACCAGCATGGGTGTTTTCCCAGCCCCACAAAAAGAGTCAAGTCACTACAGGTCTGACACAGGGGCACAATCCAGTACGATGGTAATATGAGGTTTGGAGCACCAGCCTCCATGGTGCCACAGTTCTGGAGGGTGGAGAACACCTCCAAGGCTCTTAGCTTTGTTCCTTTCTGTTGAGGGCTTCACAGTTCCCCAAGTACTCGTACCTTTTCCTTGCTCCAAATAGGAGTCTCTATTCCCACAGCCCACTCCAGTACGTCTCATACACAGAAAATTTGAGTTTCCAACGCATTTGACTGTTACTAAGGATGAGAAGAAAGTAACAGACAGAAGCCTCTCTCTATAGTCTGTTTCTCTTTCCTTCTAAACAACTGTAAAAAATATGGAATTTACCAATGTGTAATACAGTGAGACGATAAAGAAACGATGTCAAAGATAAGGCTGTATAACTGTCAACGCTCCTGAGAGTGAATCACAGTAATCTCAGCCTCCTTCTCTGTCACCAATTTGTATGTGTGTTTGTGTGTACATCTTTTTCTTGTTTTTGAGAGAGAGTTTCACTCCTGATGCCCAGGCTGGAATGCAGTGGCTCGGTCTCGGCTCACTGCAATGTCCACCTCTCAGGTACAAACAATTCTCCTGCCTCACCCTCCCGAGTAGCTGGGATTAGAGGCGACTGCCACCACGCCTGGCTGACTGTTGTATTTTTAGTAGAGACGGGGTTTCACCATGTTTGCCAGCCTGGTCTCGAACTCCTGACCTCGGGGTATCTGTCCGCCTTGGCCTTCCAAAGTGCTCAGATTCCAGATGGGAACCACTGCTCCTGGCCATGTGTACATCTTTTATAACTCACCTGTCATCATCGGTGGGTCGATCAATAATGACTCCCGCCAGGTCATTCGGATAGGGACTACAGGACAAATATGGTCAGAGTCAGACACAATGCGTCATTCTAACGTTTTGCAACAAATAGCTACAGTTAGTCTATGAGTTATTCCTGGCTTGCACTTTGATTATTCACACATATGTATATCACTACATTAACCTGAGATGGCATTTGGTTTTTTATTAGAAATGAGGTTTAATATGCCAACAGTGCGTATCTTAGGCTGTGAACATATCGATCCATCCAGACTAAGTAACTGTATCTACACCTCAATGTATGACAGCACTTTTGGAGGGCATTTAATTCCAGTTCGACTTCAGTTTGTAAGTCCCCCTTCTTATAATCCCATCTGAGTTCCTCCTTCTCTATCACCTCCAATCACCTCCTCAATTTGCATCCATCCTAGACGTCTTTCCTTCCCAAGAGTTACCACCAAGTAGCTGCAGGTCTCAAGCAAGGGCTTCATCCCATGTGATGGTGGGTATGGGACAAGGGAGTCAGCCTCACACTATGGCAGAGCTCTGGAAGGTGTGAAATAGTTCCCTCTGTTCTCTTTTAGGCTGGGGTTTCTCTGCCCTTTGTCCCCACCTATCTCCTTCTCGCTTCTCGCTCTAAGCAGGATTCGCTTCTCCCTTCGTCAACACTATGAGTACAGTCTCATTCCCACAGAAAGGAAAGGTGACAAACACTCACATAATAAGCTTTCCTCTATCAGTTCCTCCCCATTTTCCTACCTCCATCCAAAAAGCAAAAGAATATTCTGTACAAAGCTCATCCTGAGACGACTCTGGAAATTGTTTCAAGGGAACACCTTGTTCCCATGGATGCTCCTGACAGTGAATAGCCCAAGTCTCTCTCTTGTGTGTATGAATGCATGGATATGTGTGTTTGTATATGCATATATACATGTATAATTGTATTCCTTTATATCACATGTTGCAATGGACAGCCTACTAGAAGATATTCTCAGTTCACACACAGCCCAGTGCCAAAGAACTTAAAACGTACATAGTAAGACAACATATAACTTCCTAGACTTAATGTTTTCAGTTCAAACTAGTTCCAATTACTTTTCTTCTGCTTTTTTTTTTTTTGGAGACAGAGTCTCGCTCTGTCACCCAGGCTATAGTGCAGTGGCGTAATCTCGGCTCACTGCAACCTCGCCCTTCCGGGTTCAAGTAATTCTGCCTCAGCCTCCCAAATAGCAGGAAGTACAGGTGCGCACCACCACGCCTGGCTAATTCTTGTATTTTTAGTAGAGATGGCAGTTTCACCATGTTGGCCAGGCTGTTCTTGAACTCCTGACCTCGTGATCCACCCGACATGCCCTCCCAAAGTGCTAGGACCACAGGCGTGAGACAACGCACCCAGCCTTCCAATTACCTTTCAACATGTAAACTGCTCTACCCTGCAGAATTCATGTGTGTATTTGGTTCTTTGGAATATGCCTACACATTTATCCTACACTTCATACTTTCTACGATTGCGGCACACATTTTACACCTATCCAAGACTCACTGACTCAAGAGTTAACCAAAACTCTCTACCACCAGAGCTGACCAATTCATGACAGCCTTTTGTGGGTGAATTTCCTTTAAATTCAACTCCACTGTGTAGGCAGTCACCCCTCTGATCCCATCTATGGCCCACTTCCTGGATCTCTCCATCACATCTTTCCTTTCACCCATCATGCTACTGTTTCCCGTCCATGAGATACAGGCAAGTAGCTGCGGGCCTAAGGAAGAGCAGCGTCCAATGAGGTGGCGTGCTTGTGTTTGTGTTTTAGCACCAACCTCATATGTCGACAGAGCTCAGCAGTGTGAGGGACAAGTCCATGTTCCATTAGCTCCATTCTTTCCCCAGGGCTTCACTGCTCCTTGTCAGTGGCTATCTCCTCCATGTTGCAAATAGGATTCTCTCCTCCCTTGTGTCAATCTGGTAGGCTCTCAAACTCCGGAAACCTGAGTCCTTTAAGAAGGTGCTTACTAGGAACTAAGGGTGACAAATACACTAACAAGAAGCAGCAGCTCTCCTAGGACTGGCTCCTTTGTATACAACTGCATTAGGAAAGGATGCAATGTTACCTACAAAGGCTACCATGAGACGAATTGCAGACCCTGTTAAAAACCACTCTCTGTGGCCATGCAGGCTTCTCAGAATAAACTCCACAAATGTCCGTCCATCTGTCTACTTATTGTATGTTTCCATTGTGTGCATGGGTTTGTAAGTGGACGTGTGTTCAGAGAAGTGGGGATGGATGGATGCGTGGATGGATGGATGGATGGATATATTTTGTTTATGTGTCTGGGTGTGTGACTACTTCTATGCACAGTTATGCATATGTGTGTCTTTATTTATCTAAATATAACTCACCTTTCATTGATACGTGCCTCTGGGTTTGCTGTTGTCAATTCATTAGTGGGTGAACTAGAGGATGATAAAAGAATACAGTCAGAGAGGAGACACAATTTGAAATTTACTTTTTTGGAGAAACTAGCTTTCATTACTCTGCACATAAACTAGTGAAGTTCTGACTATGCATACGTATAGCACTATTTGGTTCTGAAATGTCACTTTTTTTAATTAGAAAGGAGGAGTTATACGATGGCAACCAACATCTTAGGCTGGGCAAAAAACAGTGATCCTTCCAGGTTTAAATAAACTTCTTTATTATGACCTCAGTCCCAGTGTGTGTCTGCCTTTGTGGTGGAAGTTATTTCAAACTCAACTTGTGTTTGGAGCTCGTCAGCCCTCTTATTTCACTGAATGTCCTGTTTCAAGGGCTCTCCATTACCTCCTTACTTTCAACCAGCATAGGTGTCTTCCCAGCCCCACAAAAAGAGTCAAGTCACTACAGGTCTGACACAGGGGCACAATCCAATACGATGGTGACATGAGGTTTGGAGCACCAGCCTCCATGGTGCCACAGTTCTGGAGGGTGGAGAACACCTCCAAGGCTCTTAGCTTGGTTCCTTTCTGCTGAGGGCTTCACAGTTCCCCGTGTACTTGTACCTTCTCCTTGCTCCAAATAGGTGTCTCTATTCCCACAGCCCACTCCAGTATGTCTCATACACAGAAAATCTGAGTTTCCAACGCATTTGGCTGTTACTAAGGATGAGAAGACAGTAACAGACAGAAGCCTCTCTCTATAGTCTGTTTCTCTTTCCTTCTAAACAACTGTAAAAATATGGAAGTTACTTTACGTGATAGTGATACAAGAAAGAAACGGTCGTCTGTTCAAACATACACTGTATGACGGTCAACACTCCTGAAAGTGAATCACAGTAATCTCAGCCTCCTTCTCTGTCACCAATTTGTATGTGTGTTTGTGTGTACATCTTTTTCTTGTTTTTGAGAGACAGTTTCACTCCTGCTGCCCAGGCTGGAATGCAGTGGCTCGGTCTCGGCTCACTGCAACATCCACCTCCCAGGTACAAGCAATTCTCCTGCCTCACCCTCCCGAGTAGCTCGGATTAGAGGCGACTGCCACCACGCCTGGCTAACTGTTGTATTTTTAGTAGAGACGGGGTTTCACCATGTTTGCCAGCCTGGTCTCGAACTCCTGACCTCAGGGTATCTGTCCGCCTTGGCCTCCCAAAGTGCTCAGATTCCAGGTGGCAACCACTGCTCCTGGCCATGTGCACATCTTTTATAACTCACCTGTCATCGGTGGGTCGCTCAATAATGACTCCCGCCAGGTCATTCGGATAGGGACTACAGGACAAATATGGTCAGAGTCAGACACAATGCGTCATTCTAACGTTTTGCAACAAATAGCTGCAGTTAGTCTATGAGTTATTCCCGGCTTGCACTTTGATTATTCACACATATGTATATCACTAAATTAACCTGAGATGGCATTTGTTTTTTTATTAGAAATGAGGTTTAATATGCCAACAGTGCGTATCTTAGGCGGTGAATATATCGATCCATCCAGACTAAGTAACTGTATCTACACCTCAATGCATAACAGCATTTTTGGAAGGCATTTAATTCCAGTTCGACTTCAGTTTGTAAGTCCCCCTTCTTATAATCCCATCTGAGTTCCTCCTTCTCTATCACCTCCAATCACCTCCTCAATTTGCACCCATCCTAGTTGTCTTTCCTGCCCAAGAGTTACCACCAAGTAACTGCAGGCCTCAAGCAAGGGCTTCATCCCATGTGATGGTGGGTATGGGCCAAGGGAGTCAGACTCACACTATGGCAGAGCTCTGGAGGGTGTGAAATACTTCCAGGGTTATTAGCTCTGTTGTTTTTTTTTTGCTGGGGTTTCTCTGCTCTTTGTCCCCTCCTATCTCCTTCTTGCTCCAAGCAGGATTCCCTTTCCCTTGATCCACACGACGAGTAGAGTCTCATTACCACAGAAAGGAAAGGTGACAAACACTCACATAATAAGCCGCCCTCCATGAGTTCTTCCCCATTTTCCTACCTCCATCTCGAAAGCAAAAGAATATTCTGTACAAAGCTCATCCTGAGATGATTCTACAAATAGTTTCAAGGGAACTCCTTGTCCCCATGGGTGCTCCTGATATTGAATAGCCCAAATCTCCTTCTCTCTTATGTGTATGAATGCATGGATGTGTGTGTTTGTAGATGCATATATACATGTATAATTGTATTCCTTTATATCACATGTTGCAATGGACAGCCTACTAGAAGATACTCTCAGTTCACACACAGTGCAGTGCCAAAGAACTTAAAACGTACATAGTAAGACAACTTGTAACCTCCCAGACTTAACGTTTTCAGTTCAAACTAGTTCCAATTACTTTTCTTTTGCTTTTTATTTTTTATTTTTTTATTTTTTTTCCGGAGACAGAGTCTCACTCTGATGCCCAGGCTAGAGTACAGTGGTGCGATCTCGGCTCACAGCAATCTCAGCCTCCCGGGTTCAAGTAATTCACCTGCCTCAGCTTCCCAAGTAGCAGTAACTAAAGGCACACACCGCCGTGCCTAGCTAATTTTTGTATTTTTAGTAAAGACGGCAGTTTCACGATGTTGGCCAGGCTAGTCTTGAACTCCTGACCTCGTGATCCACCTGACTTGCCCTCCCAAAGCGCTGGGACCACAGGTGTAAGCCAACGCGCCTGGCCTACAATTACTTTTCAACCTGTAAGCTGCTCTACCCTATAGAATTCACGTGTGTATTTGGTTCTTTGGAATCTGCCATGCCATTTACCCTACACATCATACTTTCTAAGATTGCGGCACACATTTTACATCTATCCAAGACTCACTGACTCAAGAGTTAACCAAAACTCTCTACCACCAGAGCTGACCAATGCATGACAGCCTTTTGTGGGTGAATTTCTTTTTAAATTCAACTCCACTGTGTAGGCAGTCATCCCTCTAATCCCATCTATGGCCCACTTCCTGGATCTCTCCATCACATCTTTCCTTTCAGCCATCATGCTAGTGTTTCCTGTCCATAAGACACAGGCAAGTAGCTGCGGGCCTAAGGAAGAGCAGCATCCAATGAGGTGGCGTGCTTGTGTTTGTGTTTTAGCACCAACCTCATATGTCGACAGAGCTCAGCAGTGTGAGGGACAAGTCCATGTTCCATTAGTTCCATTCTTTCCCCAGGGCTTCACAGCTCCTTGTCAGCTGCTATCTCCTCTATGTTGCAAATAGGATTCTCTCCTCCCTTGTGTCAATCTGGTAGGCTCTCAAACTCAGGAAATCTGAGTCCTTTAAGAAGGTGCTTACTAGGAACTAAGGGTGACAAATACACTAACAAGAAGCAGCAGCTCTCCTAGGACCGGCTCTTTTTTATACCACTCTATTAGAAACGAATGCAATGCTACCTACAAAGGCTACCATGAGAAGAATTGTAGACCCTGTTTAAAAACACTCTCTGTGGCCATGCAGGCTTCTCAGAATAAACTCCACAAATGTCCATCCCTCTGTCTCCTTATTATATGTTTCCATTGTGTGCATGGGTTTGTTAGTGGAGGTGTGCTGGGAGAAGTGGGGATGGATGGATGCATACATTTCTTTATGTGCCTGGCTGTGTGACTACCTCTATGCACAGTTATGCATACGTGTGTCTTCATTTATCTAAATATAACTCACCTTTCATTGATACGTGCCTCTGGGTTTGCTGTTGTCAATTCATTAGTGGGTGGACTAGAGGATGATAAAAGAATACAGTCAGACAGGGGACACAATTTGAAATGTACTATCTGGAGAAACTAGCTTTCATTAATCTGCACATAAACCAGTGAAGTTCTGACTATGCACGTGTATCGCACTATTTGGTTCTAAAGTATCCTTTTCTTTTATTAGAAAGCAGGATATTTACGATGGCAACCAACATCTTAGGCTGGGGAAAATAGTAATGCTTCCAGAAGTAAATAAACTTCCTTATTATGACCTCAGTCCCAATGCGTGTCAGCCTTTGTGGTGGCAGTTATTTCAAACTCAACTTTTGTTTGGGGGTAGTCAGCCCCCTTATTTCATTGAATGTCCTGTTTCAAAGGCCCTCCACTACCTCCTTATTTTCAACCAGCATGGCTGTCTTCCCAGCCCCACAAAGACAGTCAAGTCACTAGAGGTCTGCCACAGGGGCACAATCCAATATGATGGTGACATGAGGTTTGGAGCACCAGCCTCCATGGTGCCAGAGTTCTCGAGGGTGGAGAACACTTCCAAGGCTCTTAGCTTTGTTCCTTTCTGCTGAGGGCTTCACAGTTCCCCGAGTACTCATACCTTCTCCTTGCTCTAAATAGGAGTCTCTATTCCCATGGTCCACTCCAGTATGTCTCATACACAGAAAATCTAAGTATGCAAGGCATTTGACTGTTACTAAGTATAAGAAGAAAGTAACAGACGGAAGCCTCTCTCTATAGTCTGTTCCTCTTTCTTTCTAAACAACTGTAAAAATATGGAAGTTACCTATGCGTGATACAGTGAGACGATAAAGAAATTATGTCAAAGATACGCTGTATTACTGTCAACACTCCTGACAGTGAATCCCAGTAATTTCAGCCTCTTTCTCTGTCACCAATTTGTATGTGTGTTTGTGTGTACATCTTTTTCTTGTTTTTGAGAGAGTTTCGCTCCTGCTTCCCAGGCTGGAATGTAGTGGCATGGTCTCGGCTCACTGCAACATCCACCTCCCAGGTACAAGCAATTCTCCTGCCTCACCCTCCCGAGTAGCTGGGATTAGAGGCGACTGCCACCACGCCTGGCTAACTGTTGTATTTTTAGTAGAGACGGGGTTTCACCATGTTTGCCAGCCTGGTCTCGAACTCCTGACCTCAAGGTATCTGTCCGCCTTGGCCTCCCAAAGTGCTCAGATTCCAAGTGGGAACCATGGCTCCTGGCCATGTGTACATCTTTTATAACTCACCTGTCATCGGTGGGTCGATCAATAATGACTCCCGCCAGGTCATTCAGATATGGACTATAGGACAAATATGGTCAGAGCGAGATACAATGCGTCATTCTAACATTTTGCAACAAATAGCTACAGTTAGTCTATGAGTTATTCCTCAGTTACACTTTGATTATTCACAAGTATGTATATCACTACATTGACCTGAGATGGTATTTATTTTTTTATTAGAAATGAGGTTTAATATGCCAACAGTGCATATCTTAAGCTGTGAGTATATCGATCTATTCAGACTAAGTAACTGTATCTACACCTCAATGTATAACAGCATTTTTAGAGGGCATTTAATTCCAGTTCAACTTTAGTCTGTAAGTCCCGCTTCTTATCATCCCATCTGAGCTCCTCCTCCTCTATCACCTCCAATCATCTCCTCAATTGGCACCCATCCTTGTTGTCTTTCCTGCCCAAGAGTTATTGCCAAGTAGCTGCAGGCTTCAAACAAGGGCTTCATCCCATGTGATGGTGGGTATGGGCCAAGGGAGTCAGCCTCACACTATGGCAGAGCTCTGGAGGGTGTGAAATACTTCCAGGGTTATTAACTCTGTGCTATTTTTTTTTTGCTGGGGTTTCTCTGCTCTTTGTTCCCTCCTAACTCCTTCTCACTCCAAGCAGGATTCGCTTCTCCCTTGGTCCACACTCCCACAGAAAGGAAAGGTGACAAACACTAACATAAAAAGCTTCCTTCTATGAGTTCTTCCCTATTTTCCTACCTTCATCCAAAAAAACAAAAGACTATTCCATACAAAGCTCATCTAGAGAGTCCTCTAGAAATAATTTCAAGGGAACTCCTTGTTCCCATGGTTGCTCCTGACAGGGAATAGCCCAAATCTCTTTCTCTCTTGTGTGTATTAATGCATCGATGTGTGTGTTTGTAGATGCATATATACATGTATAATTGTGTTCCTTTATATTACATGTTGCAATGGACAGCCTACTAGAAGATACTCTCAGTTCACACACAGCACAGTGCCAAAGAACTTAAAACATACATAGTAAGACAACATGTAACTTCCTAGACTTAACGTTTTCAGTTCAAACTGATTCCAATACTTTTCTTTTGCTTTTTTTATTTTTATTTTTTTGACAGAGTCTTGCTCTGTTGCCCAGGTTGGAGGGCAGTGCTGCGCTCTCAGCTCACTGCAATCTCTGCCTCCCAGGTTCAAGCAATTCTCTTGCCTCAGCCTCACAAGTAGCAGGGACTAAAGGCATGCACCAACATGCCTGGTTAATTTTTGTATTTTTCATAGAGATGGGGTTTCACCACGTTGGCCAAGCTGGTCTTGAACTCCTGACTTCGTGATACACCCACCCTGGCCTCCCAAAGTGCTGGGAATACGGGCATCAGCCACCGTGTTCAGCCAGGAAAATCTTTTGATATACAGACCAGCATTTCCTTTTGTAGCATCCTACAAAAGGTATTGTTAAGCTGGCATTGCATGAAGTGTATAGAATATAACACTAATATGGGGAGATGTTAAAGTAACAACAACAGCACTTGTTTTATTTAAATGTAGAAAATTAATTCAAATATAAAAAATATTTTTGGGAATATATTTGTAATCTTAGGATAGGAAAGAACTTTCTGAGTATAACACAAACAGCATTAGTCATCAAAGTACCAATTATATCTGAATACATGAAGCTTATTATAAAGTTCTATGTAAGGTTTCTGTATTTTACTCTAAACATCAAATGTAAAAACAGATTACAGATTTGCCACATGGAGTGGAGATATGACTAATGTATTTGAACAACAAAATTCCTTGAATCTGAAAGATATCGTAAATATGACTTAGCTCACTTAACACCTCACTTTTTAGAAAGAATTTTAGAATCAGTGTCCAGAACACTATTTTCCCAAGAATAATTCTGAGACTGATTTTCACGAACCTGAATTCCTCCCATCTCCAATATATATTATGATATCACTTCTCATTGTTAGCTCCAGTACAGATTTCTGATGTCAATTCATTGGGATTAGTGCAAAGGATTAAAAGCAAACAGTAAGAAACAATGTAAATTCATACACTACTTTTTTTTTTTTTTGGTTCAAATTGGCTATGGCTGTGTTATAAATTACAGTGTGTTGTCCCTAAAAAATTGTCATATAAATCTGTTATTTGGCACCTCGTACTTCATTTTTCTCCAGAAAGAAGTCTCTATGTGTTAGGAATATAAATTGTTTAGGACTCTCAAGAAAGTTTAATGAATCAAGATTTAAATACAATTCTTTATTATTGAACCTGATCATCATGTGTGACAGCAACTTGAACTTAAATTTGCTTCAAATACATGTTCCATTTGAAGGCACACAACGTTCTTGCCCATTTTGATTCCCTAATTCTCAAGTCCCTCCACCATGTGACTCATGCTCTTCATGAGTCACAGCTAGCTTTGCTTCTCCTCAAATAGGATCAAGTGACTAAACCTCAGGCAGGGGCTCTATCCAATGTGATGATGGATTTGGGTTTGGGGCACCAGCTCTGAAGGGTGAGGGACAGATACAGGGTCTCTTAGGTCTTTTCTATCTGCTAAGCGCTATTCTGCAGCCTGTCCAATGCTACCACCTTCTTTCTCCAAGTAGGATTCTCTCCTCTCATGAATTGTTCTTGATAGAGTCTCATACACAGGCATTCTGATAGTTTCCTAAGGGTTTTGGCTGCCAATTACTAAGAGTCACAACCAAACTTTGAGTACCAAGTGTCCCTCTTCTGACCTGATCTTAATTTTTCCACATAGGTCCAAAAACAACGCTACCTAAAGATGCTTATACTTTCTTACGGAAAGCTGTTATTGCCACTGATGCTCCCAGTATTTTTCACCACTTAGATCAGTCAACTCACCCATTATGGTCATAGTTGTCAGATGCTGTTATGGTAGACACTGTTAATGAATCCATAATTCTACTAAAGAGTAACAAACACAGACAAAAAATAAAATCAGATATTTTCGAAGGCAATCAGGATGTTAATCTTGACAGTATTTCAGGACACGAAAAATAAAATCAGAGGAATTTTGACAGGAACTAAAGAAACGATTTCAGGGCACAATACTAGTACTTCTGAGGGTGTGTGGGTGGGTGTGTGTGTATGTGTGTAAAGGACACAGAAAAAAGAAAGAAAATGTAAGAATAATGACTGTTTCTATATCAATGGCTAGTTCCTGGTCATCCTTGGTAGGAAATAAACAAGTAGGTAAGTCAAAGATAGCCTAAATTATGTTTAAAACCTTTTGTGAACTTAAAGTAGATTATATGTGTAGAATCATTTTGTTTTCTTTTCGTCTGGATTCATTTTTGTAAGTCATATGGCTATCTTTTACAAAATCAAGACTTCCTAGCATCCAAACCACTGGCTTGGCTAATTTAATCTCTCTACAACTTCATTTCCTCATCTCTAAGTTAAGACACATGCAAAATACACTCCACATCTGTCGACTTCATAAAACCGTGCTGAATATTCAGCATTTTGCAAATATTGGTTTGTAGACAACCTGCTCTCTACACCATATATTACGCCATAAAAATCAGCATGTGGCAATATAAACTGATATTTTTAGTTTCAAATACATGAACACGCTCATCAAAGTAAAAAACTCCCAAGACTCAAGAATTAATGTTCTTTGCCACAATTTGCTAACTTTTCAAATGTTTAAATAAGTTTAAGAAACTGATTGCACATTTTTTTTTTTTTTTTTTTTTTTTTTTTTGCTGCTGATAAAAACTGGGATTCCCAAGAGTGTGCTGAGGTTTCTGAACTTATTTGACCACCTCGTTCTCACAGTTGAAATGTGTGAGAAACACATTTTGGAAACAGTATATTAAACGGTATCTTTTTATGTCTTCAAGTTAAAGTTCTGCTACACAAACTAATTTTGGACTGTGATCAATAGCTCAAACCTTTAAGCACAGATAGACATTAATTTTGTGCTATTCTTTCAGCATGTGAGGAAAGGAGTGCTGGAGTTCAAATTATCAAATCTCATTAGCCTGGTCTGAAGGCCATGAAGGGAACCTTTCAAGTTTTAAGTGGGTGCTTTTAGGTGCTTGAATGGCTCATGGAAATTCATCCAGGTCTCAGGAGAAACAATGCCTTTTACAAAAAGAAAAGCATCTAGAGGTATCCACTGCTTTTCCGCAGGAAGAACAACTGGGTTGTCTATGCAGAATACACTAATAAGTCTTAACAGAGGAAAAGGTTCACAACACCAAAATCATAAGAATTTGAGTTTCTGATATAAGCAGCCTCATTGAATGATTACTGGATTTTTCAGATATCTTCTACTGAGGAAGAGAACTGGAAGACACTCAAATTACTCTTCAGATCCAGGTGACAAGCCAGGATTGCTAAGCAAGTTCCTTGGGAAACTCATTTCCAAAAACGACACAAGACATCCATAGATGTTACCTGAACTCCTTTCAGGGAGATATTGCATGAAGTGTGAAACAGCAGTTTGATAAGCTGCTTGGGAGCACAGAATGACTTCCCTCATGGGACATGAATAAGTAGCTAGCTAAATTGCCTTCTAAGGAAGGTGAGAATGGCAAACTATCCTAAAATTACATGATCACGCAGAATTCCTAAATGCTTTTTGGTAGATAGGAGAAACCACAGAAGTTTGAGTTAGGTAAAGGTTAGCTGCACCTTCATAATCATGCTACCAGGTTATAAAGAAAAGTAGGTCTCCAATCAAATCTGCCACACATACAGATATTCATTGAACAAAACATTCAGTAGCAAGCAGGCACAGCACATAAGCTTCTGTAAGCTTTCTTTACTTTAGGTGCTCCAAGCATGAAAGGTTCATTCTCAGCAGAGTCCTAATATTCCAGAGGCCAAAATCTTCCTAAACCTTCCTGGAGATGCTGAGATGGGACCACTGAAGCCCGTTCAGTGGCCATCTCTGTGAAGTGGCTTCCGGGGCTGAGCACTAGCTCACCATCCTGAACAGAGCATCCACCATTAGGGCAACCAGCTGCCCCTATAGGAAAGATTAAAGCGACCAGTATATGCATGTTATCACACTGCCTAAAATGTCCTATTTTTAAGGACATTAACAGGTATAGAATGAGGCTTGTTTTATTGTTTAAACTTTTTTCTATTTCTATTATTTTTCTAATTACTTTTCTATTTCTATTTGCTGGGTCACAGACAGCAGCAAATTCCATAACTTTGGGGTTATACCAGCTCATGTGCAGTAGGAGTAGAAATATCAAAGCTCTCAGTCTACCACCTTCTGCTCCAGAGATGTGGCCCAAGCACACCTTTGGACGTGAAACAGAGCAACCCAAGGCAGAGCTGGATTTCTGGGAGTTTCTCCCTGTAAGCCCTGGACCTGCTTACCTGTAGGCTAGACTGCTTCCGGCACCACTGCCGCTCACAAGAGGCTGGGGTCGGTTCAGCTGCTAAAATGACATAAGTCTCAGGTCTTGTGTCTTCAGTACAACTTTCTCTAAGAGGGAGAAATGTATTCAAGATCCTGTTAGCAGCTTTCTCTCCCATTGCCTTTCAGGATTATGGCTTTTCCTTTTTTCATTTTTTAATTCCCAAAACCAAGCTTGTTAGATCAAATCTTTACCCAATTCCTGACAAATAACAAGGTTATTGCTATTTGGCCCTACACCCACTAGTTGTCTCCCAGTACCCTGAGGATAAAGGGACTCTGTAAGGTCCCTGGGAGGGGAAAGGAATGTCAATTAGTGGTCCCCCCAGCTGGTATAAGCAAACTTTCCTGTCTGTGGGCCCCAGACACCACCATCTAGTTCCCCCACCAAAACTTTGCATGATTTTAATTCTCCTGATGAGGAGGAGAGGACAACATCAGCCAACAGAGAGGGCAGAGGATGGGATGGGACTACCTTGCTCAGAGACCCTCACCTCTAGGTCTTTACCTCGTATTGAGAAGCCAGTACTGGAATAAGAACTGTGTGTCCATAGCAACCCCAAACAGAATCCTGTGCTCTTGAGATTCTCGTAGACTGGAGAACAGAACGAGCTTGGTCCAAGACTGCAGAGACTTAAAAACATGCTGTTCTGTCACACATACAGATACTCATTAAAGATGAGGGAGAAGGGCATGGTGTGGGGGACAACGTACCAAAGCCAAAGACCACTGGATAATAACCTCAGAGCAGAGACGATCTCTCCAGTTACTTTTTCTTTTGCATGTCATGGAGGGGATTCTTCTTATTTACTCTGGTGAAGACGTTTATGTCAAGTGTTCGGTTTCCTTTGTGGGTTACAGAGAATAACCAGAGGGCTCAGTGTTTTCTAGACCATATTAAATTTCACTAAAATAAGCAAGGTTGATAGGACTTGCGGGGGAAACTTCATTGACTCAAGCCATCATTTTATAGGATGGTGAGAAAACAAATAGTTGTACATTTAAAATACACTCATATTCTAGCTAGAAGAGAGGATTTGGAATGTTCTTACAGGAGAGAAATGGTAAATGTTTAAGTCAATGGATATGCTAATTACCATGATTTGATCATTATACCATGTAAAATAAACTGAAACATCACACTGTACCTCATAAATATGTACGATTTATTATGTGTCAATTAAAATTTTGATTATAAGAAAAAATGAACTTCAATTGTAAGAAAACAACCCAACTTTTAAAAAATGAGCCAAATGGCCGGGCGCGGTGGCTCAAGCCTGTAATCCCAGCACTTTGGGAGGCCGAGACCGGCAGATCACGAGGTCAGGAAATCCAGACCATCCTGGCTAACACGGTGAAACCCCCTCTCTACTAAAAAACACAAAAAACTAGCCGGGCGAGGTCGCAGGCGCCTGTAGTCCCAGCTACTCGGGAGGCTGAGGCAGGAGAATGGCGTAAACTCAGGAGGCGGAGCTTGCAGTGAGCTGAGATCGCGCCACTGCACTCCAGCCTGTGCGACAGAGCGAGACTCCGTCTCCAAAAAAAAAAAAAAAAGGGCAAAATATGTGAACAGATACTTCACTAATAAAGATTTGCAACTGACAAGCAAGTGAAAAGATGGTCATCATAAGTAGCTATTAGAGAAATGCAGATTCAAACTACAATAAGAAACCACTAGATAACTATTAGAATATCTAAAATTAGAAAGATGGCGTGTTCACAAAGATAGAAACTGAAACTCTCATACAATGCCAGGAATGTAAAGTGCTAGATCCACTTTGGAAAACAGTTTGGCAGTTTCTTAAGAAGTTAATTAGGTCTTCGAGTTCCCACTCCAACATGTAGAGAACTTGGAAATCATCACTCCCATCTTCACAACAGGAAAAAAGATAATCAAACTGAAAATCAACAACTTTTCTTAAATCTGTCAGAGAATAGAGGTCACAGGGCAAACCACTTCCTCAAAAACTAGAGAGACAGGTGACTACAGAACATCACAGTTTACCTGAGAGCAGAAGCCACAGGAGCCAGTAATTGGTAGGAACACTTAAATGCTAATCAATAAATTACCAGTGGCTGAGTGTGGGCTACCTTGAGAGTTGAAAACTTGTTGGAGTCCCGCCTTGGGGACCCCTTATACTTTCACGAATTTTACTTCCAGAAACCCTACCAGGTTCTCATGATGAAGGCTGAAGAAAATTTCCTCAGGCTCTTTACACAAAGAAAAGGGAAAAGCAACCATTTCAAAGTATACCCTAGTTGGTGGATAGAGAGAGTGAGTGGGTGTATCAACCATTTTGAAATATGCCCAGGGCATTCTATTCTCTGTGTGGAAGTCCTGCCCTAAAGAAAAACTGCTTTATCAGGGCCTTGTCTGACATACGGGAAAAGCAGTAAAACAACTCTAAACCCCTCCAGCTTTCCTGTCCCACATAAAAGGAGAGGAAAAAAAGAAATCATTACTAAGTCAATATCAGAAAAATTTACACCTCTGTTTTTGCCTAAGAGTATAGTTTGGGATCTTACATTTAGACATTTCTTCCATTTGAGGTTAATTTTTCCGTACAATGTGAGGAAGAGATCTAACTTCATTCATTTGTATGTGGATATCCAGTTATTCCAGCACCACTTGCTGAAGAGACTGTTCTTTTCCACTGAATGGTCTTGGTACCCTTGTGGAAAATCAATTGACCTTAAATGTATGGATTTACTTCTGGACTCTCAATTCTATTCCATTGATCTACATGTCTATCCTTATTCTAGTACTAAACAATTTTAACCACTATAGCTTTATAGTAAGTTTTGAAATAATAAAGTGTGGACTCTGCAACTTCATTGTTCTTCTTCAAGATCATTTTGGTTCTTCAGAGTCCCTTGCATTTTCAGATGAATTTTAGGATCAGCAAGTCAATTTCTGCAGAATAGAAGCCAGGATTCCGATAGGAACTGAGTTGAATATGTAGATTAATTTGTGAAGTACTGTCATCTTAACAGTAATGTCTTCCATTCAGTAAATATGTGTATCCATTTATTTAGGTCTTAATCACTTTCAATAATGTTTTGTACTCTTATATTTCTTTTGTTTTAGTCTTTTTTAAAATGCTATTGTAAATAAAATTACCTTCTTAATTTCACCTTCAGGCTTCTCATTGCTAGTGTTTCTAAACATAACTGATTTTTTGCACATTGATCTTAGATCTTTTGTGAACTCAGTTGTTGCTCCAGCAGGTTTGTTGTTGTTTGTTGTTGTGGATTCCTTAGATTTTCTACATACAACATTATTTATCTGCAAAAAATATAGTTCACTTTTTCCATTCCAATCTAGATGCTTTTTATTTCTTTTTTGGTGTTGGTTTTGTTTTGTTTTGTTTTTTTTGTCTAAATGTCCTGGCTAGAACCTCCAGTACAATGTCGAATAGAAAAAGCAAGAGCAGGCATCTTTGTCTTGTTTCTCATCTTAGGAGAAAAGCTTTAAGACTTCTGCCACTAAGTTTAATGTAAACTGTTGGTTTTTCATAATCTTTACTAGACTATCTAAGGGTTTGGGTTTTTTGTTGTTGTTGTTGTTGTTGTTTACTTAGGTTATTTACCATACTTTTGAGTTCTTTCCTTTTTTTTCTTGATCAAGCTAAGCTATCAATTTTGTTGATCTTTTCAAATAACTTTTGGTTTATTTCTCTGTTGCTTTTCTGCTTGCTATTTTATTTATTTTCACTCCATTTATTATATCCTTGCTTTATTTGCTTTGGTTTCAGTTTGCTCATCTTTTTCTAGTTTCTTTAGTTGGAAAGTTAGATTATTGATTGAGATCTTTCTTCTCTTCTAATGTAAGAATTTACACCGATAAATTTCCCTTTAAGCACTGCATTAGCTGCATTCCATAAGTTTTGAGATGTGGAGTTTTTTTTTCATTCATCTCAAAGTATGTTCTGATTTCTCTTGGATTTCTTCTATGACCAATTGATTATTTAAGAGTACATTGTTTCATTTCCATATATTTGTGAACTTCTCAAATTTCCTTCTCTTACTATTCTAACTTCATTTTATTGCAGTTGAGAACATGCTTCGTATTAGTTAAATCTTTTAAATTTTATTGGGAGTTGTTTTATTGCCTAGCATATGGTCTTTCCTGGAGAATGTTCCACGTGCACTTATAAAGACTGTATATCTGTTGTTTTTGGATGGAGTATGCTGTAGATATCTGTTAAATCTAGTTGATTTATAGTATTATTCAAGTCTTACATTTTCTTAGTGTTTTCTGCCCAATTGTCTAGCTATTCATGAAAGTAGGAAATTGAAGTCTTCAACTCTTATTGCTGAATTGTTTCTCCCTTCAATTCTGTCAAAACTTTATTCACGGACTTTGGGGCTCTGTTCTATGTTTTTGATGGATTGATCCTCTTACTATTATAAAATGTCCTTTGTTGTTACTAAAACTTTTTCCTTTAAGTCTATTTTTTCTGATTTTGTATTATGATTCCATCTCTTAATTTATATTGTTTTGGTTACTGTTTGCTTGTTATATCTTTTTCTATACTTTTAATCTATTTGAGTCTTGGTCTAAAGCATGTCTCTTATACACAGCATATATTAGGATCATGTCCTTTAATTCAATCTGCACATTTCTTCCTTTTAAATGGAAATTTCCATTTCATACAATCATTGATAAAGTAAGATTTATGCTAAATAATTTTATAGTGTACAATTTTTATTTCCTTGTCATTTATTTTACCACATTTTTGAGTTGTTTTCTTCGTGGTTGCCCTGGATATTGCAATTAACATGTTGATTTATAACTATGTAGTTCATATTAATACCAACTTAATTACAACAGTATACATAAACTTTTTCCTATGTAGCTCCATTCCCTCTGTCTTCCATTGTGCTGTTAATGTCATATAAACCATATCTTCATATGCTCTATCTTCATCAATCCATTCATGACAATTGCTTTATGCTTATACTGCCTTTTATATTTACTCATATAGTTATCTTTCTCAGCTCTTTATTTCCTCA